TTACGCTGAGGCAGTGTCAGGGCCTTGGGCCTCTCAGTGGAGAGCTCCCATGGACGCAGAGATGGCCTCGTACAGATCCACATGTGGATCTTCAGGGTGAAGCGGCCACCGGGATCTCCTCCGGTCTTCAAGGCGCGCTATGTGGCTAGAGGTTTCAGTCAGCGCGAGGGAGTTGACTTCTTTTAGACCTTCGCGCCTACCCCGAAGATGACCACTCTTCGGGTGTTACTTCACGTAGCAGCACAGAGAGACTACGAGCTACACTCTCTCGACTTCTCCACTACCTTCCTTCAGGGTAGCCTACACGAGGAGGTCTGGTTGCCTCGTCCCTCCTGGCACTTCTTGTGCCTTCGCTATCACTTTCTCTCCTGGGATTCAGTGGAGGCTCAGGCGACCGGTCTACGGTCTCCGTCAGGCGCCTCGTGAGTGGCACGATACCCTTCGCTCTACCCTGTCTGGCCTCGGTTTCCAGCCGTCTTCGGCCGACCCGTCGTTGTTCGTTCGTCGTGGCTCCACACCGTTCTTTGTACTGGTCTACGTCGACGACCTGGTTTTCGCCATTCTTGACAAGGTTGCTTTGGCTGACGTGAAGTCCGAACTGCAGAAGAGACACACGTGCACTGGCCTTGGTGAGTTGCGCCACTATCATGGCCTGCAGATCACTAGGGACACAGCCGCTTGCACCATTACACTCTCACAGTCACACATGGTGCAGCAGGTCCTTCAGCCGTTTGGGCTTCAACACTCCACCGTATAGCACCCACCTCTTGCCGTTGACCACAGACTCACTGGTCCCTTTCCTGACGAGCCGTTTGAGCCTAGTGGTCCTTACCCAAAGCTTGTGGGCTGCCTCATGTACCTGATGACTTGTACTCGCCCGGACCTCGCCTTCCCTCTCAGCATCCTTGCCCGCTTTGTTGCGCCAGGGAGACACCGTCCTATTCACTGGACAGCTGCTGTGAGGGTGGCGAAGTACCTAGCGATGACATCAGGCGTGGGGCTGGTACTTTGAGGGAGATAGTCTGTCATAATTACTGGTCACTGTGACTCTCTCTAGAGCAAGGCACATCTGGAGCAAGTTACAGCTGGAGCAAGGCACGGCTAGAGCAAGGCACCGCTGGAGCAAGGCACGGTTGGAGTTAGGCACGGTTGGAGTTAGGCACGACTGGAGTTAGGTATGGCTGGAGCAAGGCACGGCTGGAGCAAGGCACGGCTGGAGCAAGGCACGGGTGGAGCAAGGCACGGCTAGAGCAAGGCACGGCTGAAGCAAGGCATGGCTGGAGCAAGGCACGTCTGGAGCAAGGCATGGCTAGAACAAGGCACGGCTGGAGCAAGACCCGACTGGAGCAAGGCACGGCTGGAGTAGGGCACGGTCGAGCCCAGGAGTAGTGGAGCAAGTAGTAGGCTAGACTAAGAGTGCCAGTCGAACCTAGGAGTTGTACAGCCAGAAAGAAAACCTAAATCCTAACTGGAGCATAGGAGAATGATGTAACTCCAAAGGTACACTAGAACTAGGAGTAGCGGCCTCCAGTCGCGGCGGAGCAGAGCACTGAGCAAAGGAACGGTAGAGAGCGGGAAAAACCGACGGTGGGAGAGCCCGGGAAGGGTCTGCTAAGGGCCGAGGCGTGCTACGAAGGGGCGTGCGCCTGGCTGGGGCGCGGGCTTTGGCTAGGGGCACGCGCTTTGGCTGGGGCGCGCGCGTTCTGGCTAGGGCGCGCACGTTCTGGCTAGGGCGCGCGCTGCTGTGCCGGCGCGCACGTTCTGGCTGGGGCGCGCGCTGCTACTTGGGGCGCGCGCTACTGGCTGGGGTGCGCGTTGCTGGCTGGGGCACGGGCTCTAGCTAGGGGCGCGCGCTCTAGCTGTTGTCAAACTATATGGATTCTATATTTGTGTAGGCTGTAGTGGGGTAGCCAATATGGGGTACAACCCCTTTACGGTTAGATACTTGTACCCAACCTTCATTCAATGTACTCATTCCTGCTTCTAGATTCTAACATGGTTTCAGAGCAGTAGGTCCGTAGGACCATTTTTTTTCGGGCCCACCCTTCGCTAGTGACCGTCTGCGGTTACCGTGCTGCCCCACGCCCTGCTCTGCGTCACACCGCCCGCGCGCGCCCTGCCCTGCCTTGCCTTGCCGTGAGAGGCCCTAGAGCCTGTGCGCGGCCCCTGCCCTTGCCGTGCGCCGCCCCAGAGCCCGCGCACCGCCCGTGCCTGCCCGCCGCGCCGCCCCAGAGCCCGCGCACGGCCCCTGCCCTTGCCGTGCGCCGCCCCAGAGCCCGCGCGCCGCCCCTGCCTGCCCGCCAGGTCGCTGTCACGGCCCCGCTCTGCAGCAGCCGACGTGGCCCCGCCACGCCGCCGACGTGGCCCCGCCAGGTCGCTGTCGCGGCCCCGCCCTGCCGCCGACGCGGCCCCGCCTGGCTCCGCCCTGCCGTCGAAACGGCCCCGCCCTGCAGCAGCTGCCGTGGCCCTGCCCTGCCGCTGTCGTGGCCCCAGCCCTGCAGCTGACGCGGCCCTACTTCGCAGCCGCTGTTGCGGCCCCGCCGTCGCCGCCGTCGTGCGCCTACCCTGCCGCTGCCAGCCGAGCGCCGGCCCTGCTCGCTCGGCGAGCGCCTGCCCTTCCCGCCACTGGTGAGCACCTGCCCTACCGCACTTTCCGCGCGCCTGCCTTGTTAGCGTGCTGCCGCGTCATTTGCCTGCCTGTCTGTCTGCCTGCCTGCCTGCCTGCCTGCCTGTCTGCCTGCCTGCCTGCCGTGCCTGCCCTGCCCGCGCTGCTACTGCTGCTACTTCTGTTACCGCTGCTAGGCTGCTACTGCTGCTACTACTACTGCTGCTGCTCCTGGCGGTGGCCAGATGCAGCTCCAGCGACGTCCGCGCGAGTCTCTCACGCCCCAGCAGCTTAGTGAGTGGTACGCTAGTTGGGGTTGTGGCGGTAGCCGTCGTGGCTGTTGCCTTGGAGCTGGTCAGTCGAGAGTGTCTGGCAGTGGCCAGCTGCAGCTGCAGCGGCGTCCGCGTGAGACACTTACGCCCCAGCAGCTTCATGAGTGGTACGCTCAGAGTAGAGGGTCTCGGAGTACCGTTCGCTGCCCGTACGTCATTCGCACAGGTGCTCGGGCTGGTGAGTCTTTCGGGACACTTGGTCACACACAGTCCCGCTGCTTCGCCCGTCTGAGCGACGCCTGGCGTACCGAGTTTGGCGACGCGGCTGAGCTCCCCACCTGGCTGGAGCTGCTTAGGCAGAGGGTAGATATCTTTGCTCTTGACTATGATGCTATTCTCACTGCCATGTATGCGTTGCCTACTAGTGCTAACGATGCCTGTTACCTGTGCGTACCGCCTGACCCAGGTATAGAGCCTGCTGCTCTAGGTGCTGGTGAGGCTGCTGCTCTAGGTGCTAGTGCGTCTCCTGCTCTAGGTGCTGGTGAGTCTACTGCTCCAGGTGCTGGTGAGTCTGCTCTCTCTAGTACTGCGCCTGCTGAGGCCTTGTACACCTTCACGCTTGACTCAGGTGCTTCCCGCTCCTTCTTTCGCGACAGCACCACCCTCACGCCGCTCAGTCGGCCGGTTGCAGTCTCCCTGGCAGACCCCTCTGGGGGTCCAATCCTTGCGCACTCCTCCACAGTCCTGCCGTGTTCGGCGGTCCCGTCTTGCTCCCTGTCAGGTTTTCACCTCCCCTCGTTCTCTACGAACTTGGTGAGTGGTGCTGACCTCCAGGACCAGTGGGTTGACCAGTTCACTCCTGGAGGTCAGCGCGTGACCCGCTGTACGTGCTCCCGAACGAGCCGGCACCTGGCCACGTTTACCCGTGCGCCTGGCTCGAGTCTGTACACACTGACTACTGTGTCCCCTCAGGTCGCTGCGTCTGCGTCTGCGTCTGCGTCAGGTCAGCTAGCGCCCCCCTGCTCGTGTCGCGCTTTGTCGCACCAGACCCTCCTTTGGCACCACCGTCTTGGTCACCCCTCGGTGCAGCGCCTTCGCAGCATGCACCGTCGTGTCCTTGTCTCTGGTCTTCCCCGGGTTCTCCCTCCCCTCCCACCTTCGCCTGCTCCTCCCTGTCTTCCCTGTGTTGAGGGGCGGCAGCGCGCTGCTCCTCACTCCTCCTCGTTTCCCCCGACGACTGCTCCCCTGCAGACCCTGCACATGGACGTGTGGGGCCCAGCCCGCGTCACTGGACAGGGCCGCGAGCGGTACTTTCTGCTGGTTGTCGATTACTACTCGCGTTACACCACAGTCTTCCCCTTGCGCACCAAGGGTGAGGTCCCTGATATTTTTTATTCCTTGGATCCGCGCTGCCCGTCTCCAGCTCCGCGAGCGGTTCGGGACGGAGTTTCCCGTCCTGCGTCTGCACTCTGACAGAGGTGGGGAGTTTTCCTCCGACCTTCTGCAGAGCTTTTGTTGAGGGGAGGGCATTCGCCAGACGTTCACGCTTCCGGCCTCTTCACAGCAGAATGGGGTTGCTGAGCGCCGCATTGGCTTGGTCATGGAAGTCGCTCGTACCTCTATGGTCCATGCAGCTGCCCCCCATTTTCTGTGGCCGTTTGCGGTCCGCTACGCCGCCCATCAGCTCAACCTCTGGCCCCGTGTCTCCTTGCCGGAGACCTCGCCCACACTGCTGTGGACGGGAGAGGTTGGCGATGCGTCGGTGTTCCGGGTCTGGGGTTCTCGTGCCTTTGTCCGCGATACCACCGCGGACAAGCTCTCCGCCCGCGCTGTTCCCTGTGTCTTCCTTGGCTTTGTCCCTGACGCGCCTGGTTGGCAGTTTTACCACCCCACCTCGTGCCGTGTCTTCCCCTCTCAGGACGTCACGTTCGACGAGTCGGTTCCCTTTTACCGTCTCTTCCCCTACCGCACTGCCCCTCTCCCCCCCCCGCCGCTCTTCCTCGCTCCAGGTGCTCCCCAGGTAGACCCCCTCCCCGCTCCCGGTCCTGCTCCTTCAGGTGTGTCTCAGGTTGACCCTCCTCCCTTGACTGCGCCGGTTGAGGTCACTGGTGACTCAGGTCCTAATGAAGGTGGTCCTGCTCGGGGTGCTGCTTCTGGGGGTGCTGAGCCTGGGGGTGCGGAGCCTGGGGGTGCTGAGCCTAGGGCTGTGTACGGAGTCTGGGGGTGCTGAGCCTGGGGGTACTGCGTCTAGGGGTGTTGCACCTGGGGGCGTTGGGGTGTTTGGTGAGTTGTCTCCCTGGAGCGACCGTCTCCGTAGCCGCTCCGCTGGTGCGTCGCCGCTGCCCTCTCGTTATCTTCTCCCTCTCTCCCCACAGCAGCTGCGTGAGTGGTACGTTAGCCGTCAGGGTCGAGCTGCTGGAGCTGGGGGCCCTGCTGCGGGAGGCGCTGGTGTTGGAGGCACTGGAGCCGGCGCTATTCCTAGGGGTGCGGAGCCTGGGGGTGCAGAGCCTGAGCGTGAGGAGCCTAGGAGTGCTGAGTCTGGGGGTGCTGAGCCTGTGCGTGAGGAGCCTGGGGGTGCTGAGTCTGGGGGTGCGGCGCCTCAGGGTACTGAGACTGCTGGTGTGCGGTCTCCTTGGAGTGGCCGCCTTCGTCCGCGTGTGCCTCTCACCTTGCAGCAGCTGCACGACTGGTACGGTCGCCGTCAGGTTCGCGCTGCTGGAGCTCGGGGCTCTGCCGCTGGAGGTGCTTCTGCTGACGCCACTGGAGCTGGGAGTGGTGCTGGTACTTTGTCTGCTGGAGGTGCTGGAGTTGCTGGTCCCGGAGGTGCTCGTACTGGCAGTACTGGAGCTGCTGGGACTGGAGGTGCTGTGTCTGGGGGTGCTGCTGCTGGAGACACTGAGGCTGGAGACCCTGGGACTGGAGTCACCGGTTCTGGGGGTGCTGCTGCTGGAGACGCTGCAGCTAGAGACCCTGGGACTGGAGGTGCCGGTTCTGGGGGTGCTGCTGCTGGTGGAGCTGGTCATGGAGGAGCTGGCACTGGAGGTGCTGGAGCTGCTGGAGGCGCTGGAGCTGCTGGTACTGGTGGCACGGCGCAGCCGAGACTGTTCTTCGCTCCGCCGTCTCCGTCGTCTCCGCCACCGCCTGACTCTGTGCTTCGCCAGGTTCTTAGCCTCCCGTCTTCTACTGGTCTTCCGTTACAGCCTGACTCCCCGCTGCCTGCTCCTTCTCCTTACACCGAGCAGCCAGGGGGTCTTGCTGAGCGTCGTGAGCCTGCGTCGCGTCCTGTCTCGCCTGTTCGTTCTGGTCGTACCAGTCGTCGTGTTGCTCGTCCGCGTTCGCCGGCTGTCCCCGGCGTCCATCCTCTGCTCCGCAGCGTGTTCCTCTGCCGTCTCCTCCTGCGTCCTCTCTACCTGACGTTCCGGACCCTGAGTCTGACCGGTTTTGTGCTGAGCACCCTACTGTCATGCGTCTGTTAGCCACTGTTGTCACCGACCCGTCGTTTGAGTCTGCTGCTGCGTCTGCCTTGGTCGCTGAGCTTGTGGACTTTGCTGCTGCCTGTCATCTAGACTACGCTGCTAGTCTTGTTGCTGAGTCTGCGTCTATCTGTCCTCCGTCCGTCGGGGGTGAGTGTGCTCTTGGCACGGACGTCCTTGAGGACAGACAGGAGGACCTTGAGTGTCTTGCGGCCGCAGAGCCTCATCTCGTGGCCATGCTACTTGCCCCTGAGGGAGACCCGGATGCACCAGACATCCCTACCCCGCGCTTCTACGCTGAGGCGATCGCGGGTCCCTACTCCTCTCAGTGGCAGACAGCCATGGACGCAGAGATGGCATCCTGGAAGTCCACAGGCACTTACGTCGACGAGGTTCCCCCCCCCGGGGCGAACATTGTCGATGGCATGTGGATTTTCAGGGTGAAGCGGCTGCCGGGTTCTCCGCCTGTCTTCAAGGCTCGTTACGTTGCACGAGGCTTTAGTCAGCGAGAGGGAGTTGACTTCTTCCTGACCTTCTCCCCCACCCCGAAGATGACTACTCTTCGGGTGCTGCTGCACGTTGCCGCCCAGCGTGACTACGAGCTTCACTCTCTGGACTTTAGCACAGCCTTCTTACAGGGTAGCCTGCACGAGGAGATCTGGCTGCGCCGCCCACCTGGCTTCACTGGGACGTTCCCTCCTGGTACCCAGTGGAGCCTCCGGCGGCCAGTCTACGGTCTCCGCCAAGCGCCACGTGAGTGGCACGACACACTGAGGACGACGCTTGCGGCACTTGGGTTTGCTCCTTCGACAGCTGACCCGTCGCTGTTTCTGCGCACCGACACTTCGCTGCCGACGTTCTACATCCTCGTGTACGTCGACGACTTGGTCTTTGCCACTGCTGACACTGAGGCTCTTGCCCTGGTGAAGTCGGAGCTGCAGAAGAGACACACATGCACAGACCTGGGTGAGCTGCGCAGTTACCTTGGCTTGCAGATCACCCGGGACCGAGCACGCCGCACCATCACACTGACTCAGTCACACATGGTGCAGCAGGTCCTTCAGCGCTTCGGCTTCACCTGGTCCTCGCCACAGTCCACTCCTCTGGCTACAGGTCACTTGCTCTCAGCTCCACCTTCGGACGAGTCCGTAGAGCCGAGTGGTCCTTACCCAGAGCTAGTGGGTTGCCTCATGTACCTGATGACCTGCACTCGTCCTGACCTTGCGTACCCTCTTGGCCTTTTGGCTCGCTACGTGGCTCCTGGTCGGCACCGAAAGGTGCACATGGATGCTGCAAAGAGGGTACTGCGCTACTTGTGCAGTACATCGGGCATGGGGCTCGTGCTTGGAGGGCGGAGTCCAGTTGTCCTCACTGGGCACTCAGACGCGTCTTGGGTTGATGACCAGGCTACGCAGCGGTCGTCACAGGGTTACACGTTCAGCCTTGGCTCTGGCTCTGTTTCTTGGCGTTCTACTCGCTCCTCTTCTGTTCTCGGCTCCAGTTGTGAGGCTGAGATCTACGCCACAGCCATGGCTGCACAGGAGTTACGCTGGCTTACCTACCTGCTGACTGACTTGGGAGAGAGGCCTCATTCTCCTCCAGTTCTGTACGTCGACAACAAGGCCGCCATTGCCTTGTGTGAGGAGCACAGAATGGAGCACAGAACGAAGCACATTGCTCTGCGTTACTTCCTGGCTCGAGAGTTGCAGCAGCGTGGTCAGCTTCGTCTTGCTCACGTGGCCACTCAGGCCAACACTGCTGATATATTCACCAAGGCACTTCCGTCTGGTGACCATCAGCGTTTTTGTACTTTGTTGGGCCTTGTGCCTACGTTTCCACACTTGTTGTAGACTCTGCTTGTACAATGATATATATATATATGTGTGTATATGTATATATATGTATATGCCTGCATGCTTGCTCTTGCTAGGTAGTGATCACTGTACTGTTGTTGTTGCATATATGCCTCTGCATGTGAACTGGCCTTGTGGCCCTTTGCTTGTGCTCAGTGTGTGTGGTGACGTTGTGATCCACCTTGAGCTTGCTTTGCTTTTCTTGACTGGTCTTGTGACCCCTTGTTCTCCCCCACTTTGCCTATGGGGGTGTGTCAAACTATATGCATGCTATATTTGTGTAGGCTGTAGTGAGGTAGCCAATATGGGGTACAATCCCTTTAGGGTTAGAGATTTGTACCCAACCCTCATTCAATGCACTGATTCCTGCTTCTAAGATTCTAACAGTTGTGGCGCACGCGTTCTGGCTGGGGCGCGCGCTGTTGTGCCGGGGCGCGCGCGTTCTGGCTGGGGCGCGCGCTGCTGGCCGTGGCGTGCGCTACTGGCTGGGGCGCGCGCTGCTGACTGGGGTGCGTGCTACTGGCTGGGGCGCGCGCTACTGGCTGGGGTGAGCGCTACGGGCTGGGATGAGCACTACTGGCTGGGGCGCGGGCTCTGGCCAGGGGCGGGCGTTCTGGCTAAGGCGCGCGCTGCTGGCTGGGGCGGGCGCTACTGGCTGGGGCGCGCGATCCTGGTGGGGCGCCGGCTCTGGCTAGGGGCGAGCTAGGCTGGGCGAGGCGATGTTAGGTTAAGGATCGAACCGGTACTGATACCATCTCAAAAAGTGCACACAACGGAATGGGGCTGACTAGGAAAACAAGCAATACAAATATGGAACCCTAACTGTGTTGTACCCGCTAAGGAGTACCTCAATGCAGCCTATAACAATTATAGCATTTGACAGATGTTGTTACTCTGTATATTTTTTTCCAAGCCTTTTTTCCTAAGTTATATCAGTATTGTTGGAAAGGGGGTTGTCAAAACTTATTTCAACGTACATCCATGATTTATCTCCCTTGCCGTACATGGTCTATGCTTTTTGGTGAACAGTATGTACATTGCTAATTTTACAGTAAATAACAGGCCTGCCAGAATGGCCAAGGGGTATAAAAGTGACTAAGAACAAAAAGGTTCAGAGAAACAATGTGTTGGTACCAACCTTCCCGTTTGGACAAATAAAACTTCAGTAATGTATTCATTTAAAAATATACTTCAGCTTGCTGGATGGGTTATCTTGTCAAGCTGGGGCACCCTGACGAATCAGGCTTGCGGAGGGCCCAGTGTTTCGGGACTGTGCTGCGCGGCTGCGACACCATCTCCCGCCGTTAGTTGGGTTGGTGGTGGCGAACTCCAGCAAAACTCCGACGTGTGCAGTGCAGCAACATTTCTCTCATTTCACCCAACCTTCCTCTCAGGATTGAAGCCCTGTGTCTTCCACCACATTCTCACATTTCAGCTACCCGAGCTGAGTTGCGGAGTTCACTTCACCTAGCGCGCGCCGGCCATTTTGGACAGTGACTCAATCACAGCCGCCATGGTTAGTAGATGTTTTCATGTTAGCTGCATTTGCCGTTTTCGGCATTTATGCAGTTCATGACTAACGGCTTTTGTATAATGGCTCGTTGTACAGGCCAACGCTCGTTCTGGTATGGCAGTGTCGCCTGACTGCCTGATGATGTTCGCAGAACTCCAGAGGAAAAAGATGTACCGCTTCATTACCTATAAGATTGAGAAGGGCCAGATCGTCGTGGACACTCAAGGAGACCCTAGCAAGACCTACGCTGACTTCCAGGCTGCTCTTCCTGAGAATGACTGCCGCTATGCGGTTTACGACCACGAGTTTGTTACAGACGACCACTGCCACAAGAGCAAAATTTTCTTTATCGCCTGGTAAACCCCTCGGCTATTCAGATCTGCCACTTGCTCGCGCACTTCATCAGATTGTGAACCATTTTTCTGAACGTTTTTTTTTCCTCCTTCCCAGGTCTCCTGACACGTCAGCAGTGAAGAACAAGATGGTATACGCCAGCTCGAAGGATACCTTCCGCCAGCAGCTTTCCGGTGTGCAAATTGAGCTTCAGGCAACAGATGCGTCTGAAATGGACCTTGATATCATCAAATCGAAGGCACTCAGGTGAAATCCTCGAATGTTGTATTGCGTAGGACTAGGGTTATGACGCCCTAGTGCTTGCAGTGAGGGATTGCTCACCTACGATGTTCGTTAGCTTACCTAGGGATTGCTCACCTAGGATGTCCGGAACCCTCCCTGTTGGCAATTGAGGATACTCGGTGCATTTGTTTATGTTGTGGAAGCTTTGTCTTATCAATAGCAGTTGGCGTTGGCAAATCCCACGAAACTGTTAACTAGATTATGAGGAGCGGTTTAATTAGTGCTTAGCACAGGCGGGGCACGAGATTCTACCTCTTCCTCCACAGCAGGAGCATTTCGCTTTCTCATCTGAAACTGCAGACGTCTCGTGTGGTTTAGGAGGCTCTTGTTCCGGAGTCCCAAAAACTGGCAGCTGAAACGCGTTTGCCCGTTTGCTGCAAGCGTTGCATGGTAAGTATCCAACTCCTCCACATTCCTCGCAAACGCCAAGATCCCTGAAATGGACACAAGATGTGATGGTGGGTATGGTGCTGTTGGAATGGAAGAAACTGTTCAAAAGAGCAGGTATGGGAACGATGTTCATGGCAAACTAGTGGCAAGGAGAAGCTGAATGAAAAATGCAGGGAAGGGGTTGCATTCAGTTGGTTCCAGCACATGAAAAAGTGTGGAAAGACTTCCCATGCCTTCCATCTCACTTTCACTCACACCTCATGCCTTCTATCTGTTAACCCTCTCCTTTAACCATGCATACTCACCGCCGTTGAGCGCGTGCAAACCACTGGTCGACGCGTGGCGCACTAGCCGCACACGCGATGATGGCGGCTCCGAAGACGAGCCCCGCAATCTCGCTCTCCGTGAAGGGCTGGAGCCACAGCAGCGTCGCTCCCATGTCAGCAATACCTGACACATAAGTCGCGTCTGGTTGTATAGAGGCTACGTGCCCGTGTACGGAGATGACATCCGCCACGCCTGGAGTGACGGCTTCAAGGTGAGCCTGAATGCCCAAACGGAGAAATGGCGGCGCTGGTAACGATATGGCTGACGAGAGCGAGGACCTGAGAGGCGGAGCGAGAGACATCACACTTGATCGAAGCGGCAAAGCGTGTGACAGAAGAGGATTCGCGGGAACGACGGCGAAAATCGCCATTGCAGCAGGCACAGACAGGCACACGGAGCACGGACTGGTGATGCTGAATGGTTGGAGATTTTGGAGCTAGATTGCGGGGATGGTGGTGACTTAGCAACAAGCGAACATCAAAGGAGAACAAGCGAACATCGAGGGAGAACTGAGGTGAAGGTGTAGAATGAAATTTTGAAATTGTCCCTACAGTCGGTACGAGGTGGGTCGAAATTGGTTGAGTGAGAAACGAGACCGGCGCCAGCCGGTAACGCGTACGGTCTGTCCTTCAACCCTCTCAGCTAAACCCTCCCTCCTGGGTTGTTCACTTATAGGTGCTGTTCGCCAGCACCAATATAACTGAAAACGACGGGATAACAACGGGATCAGGAAGGTGGACCTCGCCTTCCTGATCCCGTCAGTTAGAGTTCGTTAACCTCCGTCAGCTTGGTCAGCCCGTGAAAAATGTGCCGAGCCTCACCAACCGTCCAAACCAATTAACAAAGTGGGCGTCTGGCGAACGCCCACTTTTGTACACCGATTTTTACGTTTCGACAGCATGTGGAAGCGGGGACGAAACTTCCTCCCCAGGCAAAACACCATCCCCTTGCAATGCCATCGTCATGCTGCGTTTTTCGAAGCACAGCGGTGGCACAGCGGTGGCACAGCGGTGGCACCGCGGACGCATTGCTGTGCAGGGGAACCCTCGAACAAGCCTTCATTTTGACACAGGGGGGTTCGTATACCCCCCATTTTTCCATCCCAAACACACCTTCGGAGTTCCCCCCCCCCCAACATAACCCCGTCGAAATCGAACGCGTTTTATTTGCGTTTTTTACCCACGTTGAGCATTTTTTGGTCAGCGGGCAGCAGGTGGGTCAGTGATGTGCAAATTTCGCGCCATTGGGGGGAAGGTGGGGATGGACCTTCCCGACGCGGTTGCGAAATTTCGCCTTTTGGGCGCGCGTAGTTTCTCGGGCGGCATTTCGCCCAAACCTCGGAGGAGGGTTCCACCCCCGTTTCCATATGCGGTCACGATGCTGATGCCGTCGTTTTCAATTTAAAAAACGATGTGCTGGCGAACAGCACCATAGTTCAGTAGCTCGATCATTGCTGAATTCGCAAAACTAGGTGGTTTCCTGCGCTCCCAACAACACTACCGTCAGTTTGTCAGCTTTCCTCGCATCGCCACCCAACCCTAGGGTCGCCATGCTTCAGCCTAGCTTCGCCACGTCACAGCATCATCTCTTTCATTCACACCTACCTAACGTCGTTAACAAAAGGGGTGTCGCCAGCACGCATTCCTTTCCCACCGTCAAAACTCCTCCACGCAGATCGCGTGTTCCGGTGCCTCCACGGACTCCGCTAACCGGCGTAGCAGCTGCTCGTATTGCCTGTGCCGCTCGCAAACCGCAACGATTCCGTGTTAGCCCGCTGCAGTGGGGAATCGTACGGAAAATATCAGGGGTGCGAGAATCGCGGCGGCTTAGACCATGCGTAGGCAAAGCGGCTGGCGAGCAGGAAAGCGAAAGCGGTTGCGTAGAGGAACGAGGGGAGACTAGTGGAGCAAAAGCTGTGGTTCGGGAGGGGGTTGGAACAGAAGGGGGGTTGTCAGCTGTTGGCTCGGGACGGCGGAGCAGGCGCCGAAGCAGTGTCGGTGGTTCGAATAAAACCGGTCCGAGTAGAGAGGAGCGGAGAGAACCGGGAGGTTCGGGAAAGGGGGAACGGGTCGGCCGGCGCAAGTGGCTGCCTAAGGAGCCTGGAGTAGTGCAAGACGGGAAAGTTGAGTTTGATGATCGAACGGTTGAGAATCATGCAGAGGCAGATCAACGGTCAGGCTGGGAGGCAGCGCAAGAGCCGCTCGAGGCTGCGGCGTTTAGCGAAGATGATGCGGGATTCGGGGGTAAAAGCGGAAGAGGAGAGGTCGTAAGTGAGACAGCAGAGGCAGCTGAATACCGTCGCATGGAGCGAAGCTTCGGGGAACGGGCGCAGGAAATGGATCCGGAGGAGCTTAGGCTGGCGAGGCAGCGGGTGGCCGATCTTATCCGTGCCGGGGATGACGTGGAACAGGTGAGGATGACGTGGCACAGTCGTCAGGATCTTGTGTGTTCAGTCAGAAAAGCCCATCCCTTCCCCCCTCTCCCCCTTAGTCTCCCGTTGGCTTAAAAGACATCGGTTGCCGCCCTGTGTCAGCCTGACTATCCATAAATCTCACCCTTTTGTCTGGGACGCTGGGTGCATGGGGCGCTGGGTGCATGAGACGCTCGGTGCATGAGACGCTGGGTGCATGAGACCATGGTTTGGTGCATGGGACTCTGCATGGGTGGTGGTGTATTGCCCTGTGTTGGTGGTGCAGGAGATTGTGCGGTTGGGCAGGGAGGGCGCGCTGACAGACGCTCTCATCCTCGTGATCCAGAACCGCCTCAACTTCGCCCGGCACGATGTGAGTTCTGGAGGGGATGATTGCACATGGATGGAAGTGATTGGGAGGGAGGACGGGGGGAGGGGTGCGGATTGATGTGCATGATGCCGGGGGGGGGGGGGGGTGTGAATGATGTAAGCGGTGCGGTGGGAATATGGTCTGTTCCATATAAATCCCTCAACTGCCTTGGCCCTCCTGCCTCTTTCCCTGTGCCCCCCTGCAAGCAGAACGAGCGTCACGTGGTGCAATGCCTTGATCTCTTGCTGCGTCGCATCGAGGTCAGTCCACCTTCCTGCCACACACCCCTGCCATTCCATCCCACGCCGTGCCTGCTCCCCTGCTCTTCTACCCTGCTTGTCTCCTCCCATGACCTCATTGTCCACCTCATACCCGGATTGGGCCGACCTAACAAACCCCTGGACTCTATAGCGCCTCCTCATCTGCACCCTCTTATCTGTTGCCTTCTCCCCCGCACCTCCTGCTTCCTGCAATTCTCTGTCTCTGCATGGCCCCTCCCTCTTCCATGCCCACAGGCAGAGAGAGAGGCACAACAAGCCACACCAGCCCTACGCCTCCTCAACACCCTCCTGCACCTTGCTGATGACCTCAGCGCTGACATCAGCACCTCCGGCTACGACCAATGGCAGCGCGAGGCGCGCGATGCCATGAGAGCAGTGTTCCTGCCGGAGGACCCATTCACGGTGGTCATGCCTGCTGTGAATGCCATGGCCGCTCCATCACCATCCACCCCATGGGTACGTGCTGTAGGCTATCTATTTTTGAGGCACCTCAAAACCAGGATTTCGATGCCATGAGGACCAATTCACGGTGGTGAATGCCATGGCCGCTCCATCACCATCCACCCCATGGGTATGTGCTGTAGGCAACAGCACTGTGGCTTTTTGTCCTTTGAATCTGCCTGGAATACATTCCATTTGACTGTTTCCTAGTAATGTGTTCCCGCGTTGAACTATTCACTGTCGTGCCTTCATCTCCTGGCAATTCTGCCTGTTCAGAATGGCCTCGGTGGTACGGCTGATTCGGGTGCGAGCATGGGTGGTGAGAGCACGCTTCTTCGAATCGACTTTATCCGTGAGCTAGAAGAGCTTTTAGAGATTGTTGAAGCTGATGCTGCAGCTGCTGCTCAGGTTATCACCGAAGCTTTCAACCTTCCACTAGACGATTCACAAGAAACAGAAGCTAACGGCAACACTATTGATGGTGATGGGGGTTCATGGGGAGACCTAGATGCTGACAAAGTGGCATTGAAACTACGCCTAGAGGAGCGCTTGCGTATTATCAGCCGTGTTAGAGACCTCCAGAGGATTGCAGCAACTTTGAACCTATGATTCTGTACAAATTTGTTGTTTTGGCATTTCTACAATGAAGCCATGTCAGCTGCTCGTCATGTTCCAAAAGAGAGTTCCAGAACAGCATGTTACTATGGTGCGCACCGCTGGACTGGAACGGCAGAGTCGGTGAGCTTTTGATAGGCACATTCCCTCCCATCTCAACAGAAGCGAGGTTACCGCATGCACTAAAAGTATTTCAGCCAGTCGGGAGCGTCGGTACCGTCGTCAGCACTTTTCGTGACAGCTATTTTCGCGAGCACGCTTTCGTAGGAAAGTCAGGTCGATCTTTTTTTCGGTCAAGCATTTGTTGGCGAAGAAAGAGGCAGGGAATGACGGGCCCTCTTTTTCGCCACACTGACCCGTGTGTAGCTGGCGGGCTGGCGAGCTTTTTCACTCCCGATGTCAGTATGGCGAATGTCAGTGTGGCGAAAGAGGGTACAGTATAGCAGTGTGGCCTGTTCATCACACAGGCAGAAGCCAAGGGGAAGGGTGGTGCTGCCGATATTCAGGCATTTGATGTTGGGGAAGGGTGGTGCTGCCGATCTTCAGGCATTTGCTGTTCCGTGAGCTCCTTGCAGGCGATTGGCCGACATTTTTCTCCTGGGTTTGCCCATCCTGCACGAAACGCACATCGGCTTTCGTTCTTCTCGTCCTCCCCTGGGCCTACCCGCGGATGGGTAGTTCTTGTGATAATTCCCGTCCCGAGACAAATGTATTTACCTTAGATTCGTGTCGTGTCACCCCTGCGGTAAAATGTGACAGGCACAATACTTTTTGCGAACTAGCCTTCAGCTGAGGAGCGACTTAGATTATCGCGTTTATGTGTCAACATATGTCGTAAGTACTAAACTTCCACGGCATCGCGACGAACATAGTTGAACTTTTGAAGACGGAGAGGCATATGGCCGGCAGGAAGAAGGAATGTGCAGTAGTAATAACCGCGTCTGAACTCTTATCTCTCCTCCTTGCGATAAGTGCATTGAGATGCATACCACAGGCCAGCGCGTTTCACCATGACACGCACCGTCAGCATACCTCTCCCCACGTCGGACTCGCGATCCCCGCGAAACCGCAAAGCAGCAGCAGCGACTCGGAGTTAATAGCTTATGGCTACAATGGCATTACCAGGCACAATCTACTGGAGCGATTAGCAACGCCAGCCGCTGTGCCAGGAGGCCCCACTTCTACTACGAAACCAGCGCCTGTTACGCTTGCGCAGTCGCAGCGTGAGTGCTGCCTTTCTCACTATTATTCTCGCGTTTCTCTCCATTCAACTTTTGTTAGAGACAATTTCGAGAACCGTCGGTGAGAGCTTTCTGGAAAACCGTGTGTAGCTCGCATATTGTAACGCGAAGCCCTTTTCGTTTGGCCGTCACCCGCATTATTCCCCGCAGTGAACGGGCTGATCGCGCTGAACGCGGCGTGGCGGCTGTGGCCCGGCAACGGCAGGCGGTTGATTCAGTGCCGGCAGTGGACTGGGATCAAGTGCAACCCGCAAGGCATGGTCACTGCGCTGTGAGTCATTGCGTTGTTTTGCGTGCATGCTGACGCTGTACCGAGTTAACACAGATGAAGCTCGGAGCTTGTCTCTCACGGCGATACAACCCTAATTTGCGGGAGTTTTTTTTTTTCCATTTCACGGTTTCGTCCTCTCGCCTACGTCTGTTGGCCTGCAGCATGTGGGATGGAAACACTGCGCCGACACCCATTGAAGGGCCCATACCTCCTGCCATTGCCGCTTTCACTGCGCTCTCCATTCTGTAAGCAACACTAACTGTCACATGAGCCACCTGAGACTGTGTTCTACGCTGCCTAGGGTTCCTTATAGGCTTATATCCCACCGTCACCCTCCGAAGACTTTTTGTGCTCACTTCTTGCGCTTCCCATGCTTGTCCACGTGTGCGTGTGTGTGTGGAGGGGGGATGCGTTGTGGCATGCATGTGTGCATGCGCACATGCGTGTGTGCGCACGCGCACGCGCACAAGAGTGTGTGCGTGCGTCCGTGTGCATGCGTGCGTGTGTATGCGTGTATGCATTCATGGATGTGTATATGCATCTGTGTGTGCGTGTTAGCTGGGTGGGTGGGTGGAGGAGCGTGGTGGGTGTCCTCCATGCACCCCCTCTCACCCCTCTCACCCCTTTGGCATGCTGCATGCACCACTTATCCCTCTCACCCCTCGCGTGTGCTGCATGCAGGGTCCTCCCATCCAACGCCATCAACGGAACCATCCCAGTGCGCGCCTTCCAGCAGCTCAAGCAGCTGCAGATACTGTCAGTCACACCTGCGCCCTGCACCCACAGCCTGCGCCCTGCACCCACAGCCTGCGCCCTGCGCCTTCAGGCTGCACCGCGCGCCTTCAGCCTGAGCCCTGCACCCACCTACTGCCTGAGCCGCATACCGTCAGGCTGCTTGCTTACGCATCTGTTGTTAAGTCTTGACATGATAGCAGACTCTCTAAAGGGCCAACGAATGGTAAAAAGAGCATGCCTTGAAACATAAAAGAGTTTTGATGTTGTGATCAGCGTTGAAGGGCCCTCTCCTCCTTCCCCTCTCCCTTCCCCCTCTAACTCCTTTTTCCTCCCCCTCTCCTCTCGCTTCCGCCGCCCCTAACTCCCGTGCCATCCCTCTCTGCTCTCTCTGCCAGGGATCTGTCTCAGAATGCCCTTGTGCCGCCCTTTCCACCTCGCACATTGCAGTCCATGACGGCCCTGCGAGTCCTGTGAGTGCCCTGTGTTAGAATGTGCCTCTAAGCTGATGCATACAATGAGTCCACAGCATGCACTGACGGCATGCACTGATGGCATGCACTGACGGCATGCACTGATGGCATGCACTGATGGCATGCACTGACGGCATGCACTGATGGCATGCACTGATGGCATGCACTGACGGCATGCACTGATGGCATGCACTGATGGCATGCACTGATGGCATGCACTCACGGCATGCATTAACAGCATGCACTCACGGCATGCACTTGCACTCACGGCATGCACTTGCACTCACGGCATGCACTTGCACTCACGGCATGCACTTACACTCACGGCATGCATTAACAGCATGCACTCACGGCATGCACTCACGGCATGCACTTGCACTCACGGCATGCACTTGCACTCACGGCATGCACTTGCACTCACGACATGCATTAACAGCATGCACTCACAGCCTCATCATACGACATGACAGAATAAATCAAGTGACTGATTCAATGTCTTAACCCTGAGAGGATGCGTGCCAGCGCACTCGAAGGCCGTTCATGTGTTTTTTTCAGTGCCTGGTCTTTCAATGCGGCCTCAGAAGGTTTGTATTGATTTGATATTTGAACTTCACTGTACTGTTCTGTAATAAATTGCGTCTGTAGTGGGCTTTCTGTACTACTTTATGCATGTACTGTACTGTACTGTACAGAAACTGCTGCGTAGGGTCGTTGTTGACTGCTGCTAGCATTGTCTGGGTTACACTCAGTGCATTGCACACCTGCTTAAAGCCGTTGGCCCAAATTGCACAAGTTTTAATATGTTGACGCGAGGGGGTTTTTCTGGTCTGGGTTTTGGCGAGTGTCGCTAATTTCGTGTGTGTGTGTGTGTGTGTGTGTGTGTGTGTGTGTGTGTGTGTGTGTCTGTGTGTGTGTGTGTGTGTGTGTGTGTGTGTGTGTGTGTGTGTGTGTGTGTGTGTGTTTTTAATCCCAAATTGCACCTGCTCTACTTTTCAAAGCTTGCACAGGCCACTTCGTCAAGTTTTAAAAACTTGACCCGCGCGGTCCGCAATTTGGGCCGCGGGCTTTAATGCTGCCTTTGTATGAACAGCTGCCCTCTGCTATCCCTCTATCGCTGCACCCCCTCCTCCTTCCCCTCCCCTCCCCTCTCCCCTCCTTCTCTCTGCTCCGTGTCAAGTCAACTGCCCATTTTCTCCACCTTTCCCCTACAGAGATTTGCATGGCATGGGTTTTCAGTCGACTCAAAACTCGTCCCATTCGTGCCATCCTCCCCCTCCAGGGATCTGAATGGCATGCAACTGGACAGCACGCTCGACATGCTTGGCCACTCCACCGCCTTTCAATACATGTCTGATTATCGCTCCTTGCTGCTTTGTCCCTCTCACCCTCTCGCTTTTGTGTACTTGTTTTTCTCTCATGCGGCATTATGCCGCCCGCTTCTTCTCCCTGTTTTTTTTTAATTCACATCACATCACCTGTACTTCAGCTTTCACTTCTCCCACCGATTTCCAGTCACTGCTTCTCCCACCGGGTTCCAGTCACTGCTTCTCCCACCGGGTTCCAGTCACTGCTTCTTCCACCGATTTCCAGTCACTGCTTCTCTTTCCATGCCAATTCACCCTCCTTCATTCACCTTCTCCTTCGCCATTGCACATTCTTTGTTTCTTGTCCCCCTTTCGTGTTGGTTCCTCCTGTGTTAATCACATGGCATGACATGTCAGAGACATCACTTCAACCGAATCAACAGGCCCGCTGCCACCTTCACTTGCTGCTGCTTCCAACCTCACGCACCTGTGAGGACAACCCCACCCCACACCACACTTGTACTATACAACCTCCCAATCCCATTGTGCACGTCTAGGCCAATCGGGCTCCTCATCTTGTCCACCTGGCTGTTAGCCCATTCGTTCGCTCACTTTGCCTGATGTTCTGGTAACCATATTTCGCCCACCCGTAACAATACCCGGATCTGTTGTCTCTATGAGCAAGCTCCTTGACTCTCCCACAACCCCCCCCTTGCCCGTGTCCTTGACGCCTCCCCCTTGTGTGACTGTTGTTGCTTGCCTCCCACTTCCCGCGTGTGCACGTGTCTCTGAGCTGTCGCAGGGACTTGTCATACAACTACCCGTCAGGGAACGTTGTCAGCATTATCAGCAAGCTCACCTCCCTTACCTTCCTGTGCGCCCTCTCCGACCACCTTTTTCCTCCTATTTCCCTCTCTCTGAGTGTGGCGATTGGGGAAGTGTGTAGGGGGGAGGGGCAGTGGGGGAAAAACTGGGGGATGGGAGGGGGTTCAAGAATCCATGCTGTAAACTCAAAGTGTTCCGGGAACCTTAGGGTCCACCTCTCATCATGCGTCTGTTGTCAGCCTGTCATGACTCATGCATCACCCCATCCTCGCTCGCTGCTGCCGCCTTTTTCTTTCAGCAGCTGCTGTCTACTTTCCTCATCTGCTGCCTCCAGAGTCCCATCCTGTGTCCCTGCTCCAAATTCATCTCTTCCTCCTCACGTCACTGCCCCACTCTCCTTATCCCCGCCCCCTTTTCCTTCTCCCCACCCCTTTTTTTCCTCACCTTGCCGCCCCCTTTCCTTCTTCCTGCCCCTCTTTCCTTCTCCCGGGCCCTTTTCCTGCTCCCCCCCCCCTCCACACCCCCCTTCCGTGCCGCAGCTCCATTAAGGAGGCTTGGGACCTTATGGGAAGTTTTACCTCCTTCTCCTCGCTCTCGCGCCTCTCGCTCCTGCAGCACCTGTGAGTAAGCGCCGCTGGGGCAACACAGAAGTCTTTCCCAGTTCCAACCTGCACGCGTGTGGATGGCTGGCCATAAGCCCCCCAGATATTATACCACCCTCGCACGCAGCAGCACACATAGTCCTCAAATGCGCCGTATGCTGGCGTGCGTGTGTGTGCTCTGCCTGCCAAACGTTGCCCACTCTATAGCGTGACCTAATGTGCTATGCTACTATGTGCCCTGTACTCTCTGTGCCCTGTGCTCTCTGTGCTGCTCTGCGCATGTAACACGCGATCGCTGCAGGGAGCTGCTGTCGTTTCACAACATGACAGGCCGCATCCAAGACATGACCTTTCTCACGTCCCTCCCAAAGCTGCGCCATCTGTACGTTGGGTCGGGCATTGTTTTTTCAACATTCTCACCAGAGCAAAGACTTGTGGTGTCTTCATTCAACCTTGAGGGGGTTCTTATCTGCACCACCTGTACGTCACTCAATCCACTGCCACTTGTACCTCTTTTTTTACGCAAGCAGTCTTCGAGAATTCTCATCTGAGAATCCCGAGTCACTACTGATAAGTGACTCAGATGAAACCATTCGTATGTCTTCACCTCCTCACTTCCCTGCCCCTACAACCTTCTCCTTTCCTTATCCATTTCCATTTTCCTCACCTGGTTACCCTCCTGTTCGCACCCTCCTCCTCTCCGTGTGTGTTGTGAGCCGACGTGAAACATATCCCCGTTCTTTCCCCTCTCCTACCACCACCACCAGGCAGTTTGCGGATATGCATGTGGAGGGGGAGCTTCCTCCTGAACTCGTCCTTCTTGATAAGCTCACCTACCTGTGAGGCCCCTGCTCCTTGCTCACCTACCTGTGAGGCCCCTGCTCCTTGCTCACCTACCTGTGAGGCCCCTGCTCCTTGCTTTCCTTTCTCTGAATAGCTGAATTTGACATTCCTGCCTGCTCACCTTCTTCTACTGCGTGTCTCATCTGCGCTGCATGTCTCAACCTAGTTCTCTCGCTCTCTGCCTGCTGCTGCTCTACTAGCGATGAGCAAGCAAACACGTGCAAGGGACCACCCTCGACTCTCACCGCCGGCTGACGTTGCCACCATCCGAGTCACAACCGCTTCAACAGCATGCCTCTTGGTGTTTTGGTCGAGAATGTAACTCTAGCCTTGTTGCTTCTTGTGTCAATGCTCTCCACCTATGCTGTGAGCAGCGACCTGAGCTACCTTTATTTCAACGACGTGCCTCTCTGGCTGGGCACCTTTACCAACCTCCGAAGCCTGTAAGTGAACCTGCCGTTCGGTGCATGGGGTGTTAGAAACTTCCAAGGGTGTTTGTATTAACAAACATGAGCACTTACATAGTGACAGAAGTTAATGTGATTGGTTACTCAATAATGGTTGGGGGCGACGCACCAATTATTGGGGGAACCAATAATTGGTTGACAAGGGCGAACATAGTTAGCCCCCGTATTACGGCCAAGGGGGTCGGCGCGTTCAAACCAAATTGGCTTGGGGCGCCTCGAACAATAGTGTACACCCAGAATTGGTTGTTACACTTGCATGACTAGAATATTACATATGCTATTTTCTAATATGGGGCGCTTATTCTCCCCCATCTTCTTGGCTAGCCTAGTCCATACCTACACTACTTTTCTCATGTGAACTAGGCACAGCAGTTTTGCGTAACTCACAGGTTTCCTTTGCTCATCTGCCTCTGTGCCCTCATCCTTTCTCCCTGCATTCGCAACCTTTGCTTTGCCACTGTGTTCTCACCCTGTCCCCTGCGCTCTCACCCTCCCCCCTGCGCCCTCACCTGTGCTGTATCATCTGCGTGCTCCCTGCGCCCTGCACTACCAGGTTCATCCCGGATGCGCGCAACATGCGCTCAGGTGCCGTGCCGCAGGACCTCTCTCGCCTCTCGCACCTCGTGGAGTTGTGAGTCCATCTTTCCTCCTAGACGTGCCCTCACTGCCCTCCCTCCCTTCACATGCCCTCACCGCCCTCTCTCCCTTCGCATGCGCTCACCGCCCTTCCTTCTTTCACATGCCAAGGTTCAGAATCTGGTTGTTTAACTGTCTTCAGGACTACTGAGAAATTTTGTGTTGTGGTCGAGGGATTGTTGGCCTTTACTTGCCATGTTGCACTGCAGTTGTGGCACCATTGCGTGTTTCATTCCTGTTTCTTGGTCCTAGAACTCTCTCCTCTCGCTTCCTTATCTCACTGTATCGTTCATGCACATTCACACGACAAAATCACGAGCACACACACGTCTCATGTGCAGTGCGGCAGGAGGGAACGGTCTCGTTGGTTTCCTCCCCGAGTCGTGGGCCTCCCTCACTGCCCTCACACTGCTGTGCGTCTTGCCTCCCTCACTGCCCTCACACTGCTGTGTGTCTTGCCTTTGTTGCACACACTGCACCGCACCACCTGCCTTTCTCACCTTCTCCCGTTATCATCATCCCTAATCATTCAGTGCCAATAGCAAGAACCCTCGTTTGCGTTGTTTTCTCAGTTGCTTCTGCTTGCCCCTCACCTCCGTCCCACCGTCCTTCTCAACGTCCATGCTCACCGGCGTGTCTTGAGATGTCTTGAAACTCCTTCCCGCCGTCCTTCCCATCCCCACATTCATGCTGACTGCCTGGTCCGCAGGGATCTCAAGAACAACGGCCTCCTGGGCTCCATCCCAAACGCCTTCTCCAACCTCCAGAGCCTTGTCACTCTGTGAGCCCCCTGCGGCCCTGCTGCATGTGATTCACTCTGAACGTCATTTATTTTTCAGCCACATTACTGGTCGGCCATGTCACGGGCCCCTAAGCCTCTTGTCGCCCACGTCCATACTGTGTTGTGTTTCGTGTGGCTGCAGGGACCTGTCCCTCAACCAGATGAGCGGCTCCCTGCCCACCTCCTTCAGTCCCGCCCTTGAAAGCCTGTCAGTGCCCTCTCCCGCCTGTCAGTGCCCTCTCCTGCCTGTCACTGCCCTTGCCTGTCACATGATGTCACTGCCCTTGCCTGTCACATGATGTCACTGCCCTTGCCTGTCACATACTGTGCTCGCGTTGCTCCCAGTGCTTCACTCCAGTCCTCTACCTGCTTCGCTCTCTCCCTTCCTGGCTTTACTTTCTCCCTCCTTTCATTCATCTCGAGTCTCCCCCCTCTCCCGGTGCTCCTGTGTTCTCTCTCTCTCTCTCTCCCTCTCCCGTATCCCCTTTTTCCTCTCCTCCCGTCTTCCCTTTCTCCCTCCTCTCACATTCTCTTCTCTCCATTCTTTCTCCCTCCCTCCTCGTCCATCCTTTTTCTATCCTCCCTCCTCTCGCCCTCCGCGCTGCTCCCTCCAGCCTGCTCAACGACAATCAGTTTCAGGGCTCCCTGCCATCTGCCCTCGGGAGCATGCCAGCTCTCTCAACGCTGTAAGCCTCACCTTTCTGTCATCTCTTGTTTAGTCGGCTTTAAAGTCGCTCTATGTCTCGCGTTCCTGCCATCTCTCCGCATACGCTATTCCTTGCTCTCCTGCTTTTTGGCCAACAGACGTCCAAAAACTTATGTCTGACCGAGCGAGTCCTGGTGTCATTGAAAAGTTTGGGGGAGCATGCCCAGCTAGAGTACCGTGTCCCTTGGCTTGGGATTTTTTTTTTCAGGTGCCTCCAGAATACCTGATGTCATGATAAGCGGCTATGGAGAAACACATCAAAGTGTATGTGCTCATACTAAAGCTCTGTCCTGTGTCTGTTTTGCTATCCAATCTCAGTTCGCCCCTTTCTTTCTCTCACTCCTTCCGTTTCTTCACTTCTTTGCAGCAAGCTGAATGCCAATCGCTTCACAGGAACTGTTCCCAAGGACTTCACAGCACTCCAGTCCCTTACGGAAGTGTGAGCTCCAGTACCCCCCGGTCCCCTTACCCCCCGGTACCCTTACCCCCGGTCCCCTTATCCCAGGTTCCAGTTGCCTCAAAAACTGCCTGCACAGTGTGGTGCAGGTCAACCCTTAACGCCTTGGTAGGAACGGTTTCGATTGCTACAAGCCGCTATAATTCTGTCTAGTTTAGTATCTGAATTTTGACTACTTAATCCAACTATCGGCTGGCTAGTAGGAGAGAAAATCGAGCAGAAAGGACTTGATAAGTCGATCGATTAGACAAGCATCACATCCGATGCCACGTGCAAACGGGTTTTGGGACTTTCAGCAACGCATGCGAACACGTTTCGGGCCCCTTCAGCATACGCATGCGCATGCTCACACGTGCATGGAGCTTCTGTAATGGGAGACGTGCTGCATGCACGAGCACACATGAATCAGACGCAGGCACGTGCACGCGCACATGCATGCGCCCGTAGCTCACCACCCCTGAGCTGGCTCGAAAAGTGTGTGTGGTGCTGGCCTGCGTTGCTGCGGGTGGCCATGGGCATGGGCAGGATGCTGAGCTACAACCAGCTGTCAGGAGGGCTCGAGGTCATCGCCAACATGCCGTATGTCACCACCATGTGAGCCAACATGCCGTATGTCATCACCATGTGAGCCAACATGTCGTATGTCATCACCATGTGAGCCAACATGTCGTATGTCATGACCATGTAAGCCCCATGCTCTAGGTATGTCAATGCCCCTCGTCCTCCCATCGCACATACATGCATCTCAAGACTGGCTGCAATGAGCACGTTGGAGCACATGGTCATTGAGACAGGCATGCTTGCATTGAGTCATCATCGTTTAGGCGTTTAAACACCACCTTGAGCGCGTTTAAACACCATCTTCAGAGTTTAAACGCCACCTTGAGAGCGTTCAAACGCCACCTTGAGAGCGTCAGCCAGTCAGTGGGCTCGCACGTACGTTCGACCTGTGCACTGGCCCATCGTGGGTTCATTTCCCCTGAACTGAAACCTTCTTTTCATGTCCTGCCTTTCCATCTCCCTCTTCCTCTCCCACTCGTACGGGCTCCCACTCTCCCGCGTTTTCCTTTCCCTTTCTCCCCCTTTCACCCTCTTCTTCCCCTTCCCCTCCCTTCTCTCCCCCAGCGACATTGGCTCTAACAACTTCTCGGGCTCTCTGCCAGCTGACTTCTCCAAGCTTACGACCCTCCTCACTCTGTTAGTCGCATGCACCTGCACAGCCAGCCAATGCACGACTCTCATGCTTGCTGCTGCACCCACACCCGCATCGCATCACACTGCATCACATTGCATCGCATTGCACTGTGTCGGCACCGCATCGCATCGCATGGCAGTGGACATGCCATGGGAACTCGAGGGTCCGAGCCTTTCCTGCTGGATGTCTTGTCATGTCAACAATGCATTGTTCGTTCCAGCTCTTCAACTGTCGGCCGGATCGCGGGTGCAATCGCAACAGCTGACAGCTCGGCTCGGGAAGATTCTGATCAAGTCATCTTACCTACACTACACTCTCTGTTTGTCCCCGGGCACTTGGGTTCGGCAGCATTGCAGTAAACAACAGCCTGTCAGGGGAGTTTCCGTCGGTGCTTCTGGGCCTCACCACACTCGAAGGACTGTACGTCTGCTGCCAGCCTGTCAGTCAGCCACGTCTGCTGCCAGCCTGTCAGTCAGCCACGTCTGCTGCCAGCCTGTCAGTCAGCCACGTCTGCTGCCAGCCTGTCAGTCAGCCACGTCTGCTGCCAGCCTGTCAGTCAGTCACGTCTGCTGCCAGCCTGTCAGTCAGCCACGTCTGCTGCCAGCCTGTCAGTCAGCCACGTCTGCTGCCAGCCTGTCAGTCAGCCACGTCTTCTGCCAACCTGTCGTAGCCATGTCTGCTGCCAGCCTGTCAGGCAACCACTTGTGCTGCTAGCCTGTCAGTCAGCCAAGCACGCCGCAAACCTCTCCAAGTCGATTCTCTCCTTCTCTTTGATTCCGCCCTCACCCTCTCGTCCTCTCCAACTCCATCCCCCCCCTCCTTGCCCCCACCAGTCGCCGTGTCCAATGGCTTGCTTGCCTTGCAAGGCTCCATCTCTCAGGCCATCACCAGCCTCACCAGCCTGCTCTCCTCACCATCCTCTCTCTCTCCCCATCTCCATCCTGCCCTCCTTGCCGCCACCAATCATGCCGCCCTGTGCTGTGCGGCAGAGACTTGTCGTACAACAGGTTCACGGGCCCCATCCCTCAGGCCATCACCAGCCTCACCACCCTTTTCTCCTCACCACCCTCACTTATACCCAATTCCATCTTCCCCTCCTTGCCCCCACCAATCACCCCTTCCTGTGCGGCAGGGACTTGTCGTACAACAGGTTCACGGGCCCCATCCCTCAGGCCATCACCAGCCTCACCGGCCTCGCCTCCTTGTGAGTGCACCGTCCGTATGTGTGTGTTACATTCTGCTGTGAATCTGCTTGCTCTGGGCCTTGCTCAACTAAAGCCTGTCTCGTGATTCCTCTTCCTCGCGTCCGCTTCCATCACTTACTCCCTCACCTGACCTCTACCTCTCGCATCCTGCACCGACCATCCCTCCAACCCCCCATCCGCCCCTTCACCCATCCACTTCTCCCTCCATCCCTCCATCCACCCACGCGCCCATCCATCCATGCGCCCATCCATCCATCCATGCGCCCATCCATCCTTCCATGCGCCCATCCATCCTTCCATCCTTCCATGCGCCCATCCATCCATCCATGCGCCCATCCATCCACCCACACGCCCATCCATCCGCGCGCCCATCCATCCATCCATGCGCCCATCCATCCATCCATGCGCCCATCCATCCATCCATGCGCCCATCCATCCACGCGCCCATCCATCCACCCATCCATCCATCCATCCATCCATGCGCCCATCCATCCATCCATGCGGCCATCAGGCATTTGGAGCACAACCAGTTCTCAGGGGAGATTCCGGCCTTTGTCTTCCAGCTCTCCTCACTCACAGAGTTGTGCGTTCCTCCTTCGTGCCTCCTCCCTTCTGTCTTCCAGTCTATTCACTCAGCATGCCATAGCATCATAGCGCCACCATTTGGATCACTATGCCGTGTCCTCCTCCCGGTGCATTCCGGTGCATTCCCAGTGCATTCCGGTGCATTCCGGTGCATTCCGGTGCATTCCGGTGTCCTCCTGTATCCCCAGGTACCTCTCCTACAACCATTTTCAAGGCAGCATTCCGCAAAGCCTCTCAACCAGTGGCGCACTCGGCTTGCTGTGAGTGCTGCTGGGCTTGCTGTGAGTGCTGTATGCTCCTGTGAATGTGCTGGCTGGCGCTTATGTTCTGCTGCCACTGCTACTTGCCATTCCTGCGATATAACCTAATTGTTTGAGTTTACACCAACTCGCCAAGAAGGCTGTTCTGATCCAGATGTCTGATTTCCACCCTTGCCCCATCACCAACCTTCTACCTGCTATGTTTTCTGCTGCTGCGCTTTCGAACATGTCCTTTCTGCTGCTTGCCCCACTCCAGCCGCTCCCTTTCGCACGAACCCAATTTCCCCCACCTGTGGCTTGTAGCAATCTAGAGGGCAACGCTTTCAGTGGCCCACTGCCTGACTTCGCCCAGTGGAACACCAGCATCACCGCTCTGTAAGCCTCTGCACCGTGCTGTAACGCCATTTGCTCTCTTCAATCACATTGAGGAGCATTGCCTGCAACTTCATGAAGCCTGGGCACCTTGCTTGCTCTACCACGTTCCACCCATGTCTACCACATCACATCCTACCAGCCCTCTCTCCCGTGGTTCTTTGCCCTCTCTGCAGCACGCTTGCACTCGTATGACAAAATGTGTGCCGTACCCCTGTGTGCCGTACCATTGTGTGCCATACCATTGGGTGCCATACCATTGTGTGCCGTACCATTGTCTGCCGTACCATTGTGTGCCATACCATTGGGTGCCATACCATTGTGTGCCGTACCATTGTGTGCCGTACCATTGTGTGCCGTACCATTGTGTGCCATACCATTGGGTGCCATACCATTGTGTGCCGTACCATTGTGTGCCGTACCATTGTGTGCCGTACCATTGTGTGTTGTACCATTGTGTGCCGTGCCATTGTGTGCCGTACCATTGTGTGCCGTACCATTGTGTGCCGTACCATTGTGTGCCGTACCATTGTGTGCCGTGCCATTGTGTGCCGTACCATTGTGTGCCGTACCATTGTGTGCCGTACCATTGTGTGCCGTACCATTGTGTGCCGTACCATTGTGTGCCGTACCATTGTGTGCCGTACCATTGTGTGCCATACCATTGTGTGCCATACCATGGTGTGCCATACCATTGTGTGCCGTACCATTGTGTGCCGTACCATTGTGTGCCTTACCATTGTGTGCCGTACCATTGTGTGCCGTACCATTGCGTGCCGTACCATTGTGTGCCGTACCCCTACTGCAGGTATTTGGGGTTCAACAATCTCACAGGCTCCATCCCAGACTCGCTCACTACAATCACGTCCCTTAATACCATGTACATAATGGCAGCATGCACTTCAGCTTGCATGGCAGCACGCATGGCATGAGTAGTACCTAGCAGGAGCATCCATGCCATGCACTGAAGCTCTCCATCTCAGCAGTCCTCGTAAGTCCCGCATATGTCACTTGTCCTTGCCCCTCCCTCCCTCTCGGTGCCTCCCCTCAAGATTACTGCTGACCAATTCGGTTACCATACCATCATCGTAGCCTAGTCAGTGCGATAACCACCGTTGTAACCAGCGTGCGTGATGCGTTAAGTGTGTGCTATGGTCCTGTATACTCTATGCTCTATGCTCTCCATGCTCCATGCTCCATGCTCTGTGCAACACCTTGCTCAGAGCTCCATACTCAGTGTGCTGTGCGCTGTGCTTAATGCCCACCATGCTATGCTGCAGCACTCTGCAGTTCAATCAGCTGTCGGGCACCATTCCGACTTCTCTTTCGGCTCTCACGGCCCTGGACACAATGTGAGCAGGCGTGTGTGACGTCTGAGCACTTGTGTGTGCTTCTCTTGCGCAACACCTTTCCTCCACCGCAGCCTTCCCTTCATGTCTGCAACTTCTGCTTTTCTTAATCCCCTTCTCGTTCCACTTCCCTACAATCCGCCTTCACGATTTTCCAATCGCTGCTGGTGCCGTCATCATCACATCACCACGATTTGGCACCACGTGGGATCTCCACATCCCCCATTCAGTGCCCTACTTCCCAAACCCCGTTTCTTCTGTCACCCCAACCGCCATGGCAACCGTGCAGATGGCTGGCAGGCAATCAGCTCTCAGGCACTCTCCCGGACTTCTTCGCCTCCCTATCAAACCTGCGACAGCTGTGCGTTTCCTCCCTTCCCCCTCCCCTCCCCACCTCACTGCTGCTCCTCTTTCCATCCTCCCAGTTGAATCACACATAGCGCGCTTACACTCCCGGGTGTCCTCTCCTTTCCGCCAATTACCCATCTTGAGACGTTTCAAGGCCCTCCTGTCTCCCATGTTCTCCCCGCGCTCCTTCAAACCTCACTGCTTATCACCCTTTTCTCGCACGCCACGCCCCTCACCTCTGTGCCCCTCCTCTTTGCTCACTCCACCCACTCACCCCCTACCCCTGCCGCGTATCCCAGGCTGCTGGATGGCAATCAGATCTCGGGCTCTCTGCCAGCCTCCTTCTGCAATCTGAAGCGACTTGAGTACTTGTGAGTTAGGGGTACGGCTCTTCACTACATGATCTTTTCCCTTTGCTTCTTTGATCCAATAGGGATCAGGTCTCCTCTCTTTTCCCCTTTTTCCTGCCCATCCTCACCTCTGCGCTCCTTTCCCCCTTTTTCCCCCGTCCCCCTCATCCCTTGATTCTCCTCCCTGCCCCACCGTGCCATCAGTGGGGTGCGCAACAACCGCATGTACGGGCCGCTGCCGCGCTGCATGTTTGACTTCCTTGGACTCAACTACCTGTGAGCGCACTGCCCCCTTATGTGTCCCACACTCCCTTCATTCCTCGCTGAAACCCTAGACACAAGGAACGGCCACCATGCTCTGCCCCTCCTTCTACTCCTCAACCAACCATTTCCTTGTGCTATCCTCTCCCACTCCTCCCCCCAGAGACGTGCGTAACAACTCCTTCTACGGCACGATAAACCGCGACTTCAGGGGCATGGGCATGAACAACCAGCTCTAGTAACCCCCTTTTCCATTCCACATGCCATCCATCCCCATAAACGCCTCTCCCGCCTCTCTTCCCTCTTTTTCCCCCAGAGACGTGCGCAACAACTCGTTCTACGGCACCATAAACCGCGACTTCAAGGGCATGAACAACCAGCCCACAGAACAAAACCCCAATCCCGCCGCGCTCAACCTCGCGTACAACTATTTCTACGGAGAGCCCTTTGTGTACGCCGCCGGCAGCATGATCTGCCCCACACCCGCCGTGCGAACCGTCGACTACCATGATATTGCCTCCATCGGGGCCACCGCAGGCGGAGTGGTGGCGGCAGATTCCTCTTCCGGGCGGCAGGAGTATCGAATCTCCGTGGCGTATGCAAAGGGCCAGGCCAGCTTGCTGCAGAACTGCCTGGCGGTGCGCGGCGAGGCAGGGTGCCTGGTGAACGAGACGCAGCGGCCGGCGGAGGAGTGTGCGGCGTTCTGCAGCATCACGGAGAGTGGGGTGTGCAACGGGGTGGGGGACTGCGTGCCGCCTGAGCCGGGAAGCGGCGATCAGGGCTTCACGTGTCGCTGCAATGCGCCGTATTCCACCGTGCCTGCTGCCAACGGCAGTGGGTCCTCCTGTGCCATTCAGACCACCAAGTCCTGTGAGTGCCTCTCGGATCGCGTCGTGTGTTTGTGACGGTTCACATTTTGCGTGCACAATGAGAAGACTCACATCACATCTCTCCGCAATCCACCTCATGTGCTTCTCAGCGCTTCTCTTCTCCATAACCCCCCCCACTCTGTTCCGCTATACAGCGCTGTCAACGGGGGCCATCGTGGGCATCGCAGTGGGGTGCTTCACGGGGCTCGCTCTCATTGCCGCTGTGCTTGTCGTGATGCTCCGCAAGAAGAAGAGACGTGAGTGCTGCCACACACGCTGCCTGTTCAAGTATGCTTTGTATCAAGTCAACTGTCACGCTGCTTGCAGTTTGGCTGGAAACTCAACCTGCCCCTGTTTCACTGGGGGATCCTTGCATGCGTTGGTTCACATCATAAGCTGTACTCCGTGGGCTGGCCCTTTTGTCAGAACCACCCCGAGGCCTCCCCAGTGCTTTGGAATGACCTAAACGCGTGTCTAAAGCTTTCGATTGAGCTTTCTGGCTGTGAGGCCACGAGTTTCGCATTGCCCCGATTCAACCCTCAGGTCCTACTCTCAAATCCCTCTTACGCTCCCCTCCCGCTCTCTCCCTCCCCCAGACCCTCTCGGCCTTCCCCCAGGGCGGTGGGACGACCTGGACGTGTCTCAGGAGTTTTCGATTGGCACGATGAGGAAGGCCACCAACGACTGGGCGGAGGAGAACGTGATCTCAACCCCAACCCCTTTCCTCCCTCTCCCCAACCTCCCTCTTCCCCCCCTCCCCCCAGGGCGGTGGGACGACCTGGATGTGTGTCAGGAGTTTTCAATCGCCACGATGCGCAAGGCCACCAACGACTGGGCCGAGGAGAACGTGCTGGGCGAGGGAGGCTTCGCTGTCGTCTACAAGGGCGTCAACCCGGTCAACGGGCAGCTCTGGGCCATCAAGAGGCAAACGCTCATGTCCAACGACTTTGAAATGGAGGTGAGGAGACCTGTAACGAGTATGGAGTGCGCGTTGTGTACTCATGTCAATCCCCGGGGCACGAACCAAGCGCACTACCTCATGGGGCGTCACTGACCCTCTCACCCTCACCTTCTCCATTGCCACGAGATCGTTGGGCTGCTTTCTCCCTAGTGTTAGTTCAGCTCGATGTATGAATGCTTCCTTCACGGCCGCATCCTGGAAGGCGGCGATAATGTATTCGTTTTTGCTGAGAAATTGCCTTTCAGAACTCTCAAAATGATCTCAACATATGACCTCAACATATCATCTCAACATATGATTTCAACACTGTCTCTCCCATACCCTCCGTACCTCCTCGCCAGGTGCGGGCGATGGCGAGTCTGAACCACAAGAACCTGGTGCGGCTGCTGGGGTTCTGTCTGGACATGAACGTGGAGAGTGGCAAGCAGGAGCAGATCCTCGTCTACGAGTTCGTGGCCAACCGTGACTTCCAGTACCACATCCACAAGCCCAAGCGTGAGTGACTCATGAGACTGAGTATGAAAAGCTCACACAGAAGTGCCCTCCGGCTTTAGGGTAACAGGTCAACTGTTTGCATGCTCAATGCAGAAGCCATAAGGAGCACAGAAACTGCGAAAGCAGGAGCAGATTCTCGTGTACGAGATCGTGGCCAACAGAGACTTCCAGTGCCACAAGTGCCACATGCACAAGCCCAAGCGTGAGTGCCACACCCATAAGCTCAAGCATGAGTGCCACACCCATAAGCCCAAGCATGAGTAACCAATTAAGCAGGTCGTGAGCACGCTGTTACGCTGTTATGCTATTACGCTGTTAGGCTGTTACGCTGTTAGGCTGTTAGGCTGTTAGGTTGTTACGCTGTTACGATGCTACGTTGTTAGGCTGTTAGGCTGTTACGCTGACGCTGTTACGCTGTTACACTCTTACGCAGTTACGTCGTTACGGAGTTACGCTGTTACGCTGTTAGGCTGTTACGCTGTTACGTTGTTACGCGTTACGCTGTTACGCCGTTACGCTGTTACGCTATTAGGATGTTAGGGTGTTAGGCTGTTAAGCTGTTAGGGTGTTACGCTGTTACGATGTTACGCTGTTGAGATGTTAGGCTGTTACGCTGTTAGGCTGTTAGGCTGTTAGGTTGTTACTATGTTACGTTGTTACGTTGTTAGGCTGTTAGGCTCTTAGGCTGTTGCGCTGTTACGTTGTTAGGCTGTTAGGCAGTTCGGTTGTTAGGCTGTTAGGCTGTTACGCTGTTACGCTGTTAGGCTGTTACGCTGTTAGGCTGTTACGCTGTTAGGCTGTGACCCTGTTACGCTGTTACGCTGTTAGGCTGTTAGGCTGTTAGGCTGTTACGCTGTTAGGCTGTTAGGCTGTTATGCTGTTACGCTGTTTCGCTTTTACGCTCTTACTCTGTTAGGCTGTTACGTTGTTTGGCTGTTAAGCTGGTAGGCTGTTAGGCTGCTACGCTGTTACACTATTAAGCTGTTACGCTGTTAGGCTGTTACGCTGTTACGCTGTTACGCAGTTACGCCCTTAGGCTGTTACGCTGTTAGGCTGTTAGGCTGTTAGGCTGTTACGCTGTTACGCTGTTACGTTGTTACGCTGTTAGGCTGTTACGTTGTTAGGCTGTTAGGCTGTTACGCTGTTAGGCTGTTAGGCTGTTACGCTGTTACGCTGTTAGGCTGTTTGGCTGTTAGGCTATTACGCTGTTAGGCTGTTACGCTGTTACGCTGTTACGCTGTTAGGCTGTTAGGCAAGGCTGTTACGCTATTACGCTATTACGCTGTTTGGTTGTTGCGTTGTTAGACGCTGTTACGCTATTACGCTGTTACGATGTTACGTTGTTAGGCTGTTACGCTGTTAGGCTGTTAGGCTGTTACGCTGTTACGCTTTTACGCTGTTACGCTGTTACGCTTTTACAATGTTACGCTGTTAGGCTCTTACATTGTTTGGTTGTTAAGCTGATAGGCTGTTAGGCTGTTACGTTGTTACGCTGTTAGGCTGTTACGCTGTTAGGCTGTTACGCTGTTAGGCTGTTACGCTGTTACGCTGTTAGGCTGTGACGCTGTTAGGCTGTTGCGCTGTTACGCTGTTCGGCTGTTAGGTTGTTACGCTGTTACGCTGTTAGGCTGTTAGGCTGTTACGCTGTTAGGCTGTTATGCTGTTAGGCTGTTACGCTGTTAGGCTGTTAGGCTGTTACGCTGTTAGGCTGTTACGCTGTTACGCTGTTAGGCTGTGACGCTGTTAGGCTGTTGCGCTGTTACGCTGTTCGGCTGTCAGGTTGTTACGCTGTTACGCTGTTAGGCTGTTACGCTGTTAGGCTGTTATGCTGTTAGGCTGTTACGCTGTTAGGCTGTTAGGCTGTTACGCTGTTACGCTGTTACGCTGTTAGGCTGTTACGCTGTTAGGCTGTTAGGCTGTTACGCTGTTAGGCTATTACGCTGTTAGGCTGTTACGCTGTTAGGCTGTTACGCTGTTATGATGTAACGCTGTTACGCTGTTAGGCTGTTACGTTGTTACGCTGTTACGCTGTTAGGCTGTTAGGCTGTTACGTTGTTTGGCTGTTAAGCTGGTAGGCTGTTAGGCTGTTAGGCTGTTACGCTGTTAGGCTGTTAGGCTGTTACGCTGTTACATTGTTCGGCTGTTACGCTGTTAGGCTGTTATACTGTTAGGCTGTTACGTTGTTGCGTTGTTAGGCTGTTACGCTGTTAGGCTGTTACGCTGTTAGGCTGTTACGCTGTTAGGCTGTTATGCTGTTAGGCTGTTACGCTGTTAGGCTGTTAGGCTGTTACGCTGTTAGGCTGTTACGCTGTAAGGTTGTTAGGCTGTTAGGCTGTTACGCTGTTATGCTGTTAGGCTGTTAAGCTGTTAGGATGTTAGGTTGTTACGTTGTTTTGCTGTTAAGCTGGTAGGCTGTTGTTACGCTGTTAGGCTGTTACGCTGTTAGGCTATTACGCTGTTAGGCTGTTACGCTGTTAGGCTGTTACGCTGTTACGCTGTTAGGCTGTTACGCTGTTAGGCTGTTAGGCTGTTACGCTGTTATGCTGTTACGCTGTTACGCTGTTAGGCTGTTACGTTGTTAGGCTGTTACGCTGTTAGGCTGTTATGCTGCTAGGCTGTTAGGCTGTTACGCTGCTACTCTGTTAAGCTGTTACGTTGTTTGGTTGTTAAGCTGGCAGGCTGTTAGGTTGTTACGCTGTTACGCTGTTAGGCTGTTACATTAATAGGCTGTTACGTTGATAGGCTGTTACGCTGTTAGGCTGGTACGCTGTTACGTTGTTAGGCTGTTACGCTGTTAGGCTGTTACGTTGTTAGGCTGTTACTCTATTACGTTGTTACGCTGTTACGCTGTTAGGTTGTTAGGTTGTTACGCTGTTACGCTGTTAGGCTGTTACGCTGTTACGCTGTTACGCTGTTAGGCTGTTAGGCTGTTACGCTGTTAGTCCATTAGGCTTTTACGCTGTTAGTCCGTTAGGCTGTTACGCTGTTAGGATGTTACGCTGTTACGTTGTTATGCTGTTACGTTGTTAGGCTGTTACGCTGTTACGCTGTTAGGCTGTTAGGCTGTTAGACTGTTAGGATGTTACGCTGTTACGCTTTTAAGCTGATACGCTGTTAGGTTGTTACGCTGTTACGCTGTTAGGCTGTTAGGCTGTTACGTTGTTACGCTGTTAGGCTGTTACGTTGTTAGGCTGTTAGGCTGATAGGCTGTTAGACTGTTAAGCTGTTTCGCTGTTACGCTGTTAGGCTGTTACGCTGTTATGCTGTTAGGCTGTTAGGCTGTTACGCTGTTACGCCGTTAGGCTATTAGGCTGTTAGGCGGTTAGATTGTTAGGCTGTTAGGCTGTTACGCTGTTAGGCTGTTAGGCTGTTACGTTGTTACGCCGTCAGGCTGTTACGCTGTTACGCTGTTAGGCTATGAGGCTGTTACGCTGTTACGTTGTTACACCGTTATGCTTTTTACGCTGTTAGGCCGTTACGCTGTTACACTATGAGGCTGTTAGGCTGTTAGGCTGTTAGGCTGTTAGGTTGTTAGGCTGCTAGGCTGCTAGGCTGCTAGGTTGTTAGGCTGCTAGGCTTTTATGTTGTTACGCTGTTACGCTGAGACGTTGTTACGATGTTAGGTTGTCAGGCTGTTACGTTGTTACGCTGTTACGCTGTTAGGCTGTTACGCTGTTAGGCTGTTACGCTGTTAGGCTGTTAGGCTGTTAGGCTGTTAGGCTGTTAGGCTGTTAGGCTGTTACGCTGTTACGCTGTAACGCTGTTATGCTGTTACACAGTTAGGTTGTTAGGCTGTTAGGCTGTTAGGCTGTTACGCAGTTAGGCTGTTATGCTACTACGCTGTTACGCTGTTAGGCTGTTACGCTGCTAGGCTCTATGCTGTTAGGCTGTTAGGCTGTTACGCACACTTGGTCACACTTGGTCACACGTGGTCACACTTGGTCACACGTGGTCACAAGTGGTCACACTTGGTCACTGTTAGGCTGTTAGGCTGTTAGGCTGTTACGCTGTTACGCTGTTAAACTGATACGCTTTATGCTGTTACGCTGTTACGCTGTTTCGTCGTTAGGCTCTATGCCGTTACGCTGTTACACTGTTGCACTATTAGCTATTTTGCTGTTACGCTGTTATGCTGTTACGCTGTTACGCTGTTAGGCTGTTAGGCTGTTAGGCTGTTTGGATGTTAGGCTGTTACGCTGTTAGGCTGTTAGGCTGTTACGCTGTTAGGCTGTTACGCTGTTACGCTGTTAGGCTGTTAGGCTGTTACGTTGTTACGCTGTTATGCTGTTGCGGTTACGCTGTTACGCAGTTACGCCGTTTCGCCGTTATCTCACAGAAGCACGCCCTCTGGGCTTCAAGCTCGCCATCCATCCACGACTCCGTCGCCATCTCTTTCCCCCACTCTTTCATCCCCCCTCCTTCCCGCTCCCCCCTCTCTTTTTCCCTCTCCTGTGCCCAGGCCCGCTGACGCTGCGGCAGCGGTTGAAGCTGGCGGTGGGGGCGGCGGAGGGGTTGGCATATTTGCACGGCTTTGAGAATCCCATCATTCACCGCGACATCAAGCCCGCCAACATCCTCGTCGGGGACAACCTCACTGTGAGCCTTTAACTGATGTTGCTTTCCAAATAGCAACCTCACTGTGAGCCTTGATGTCCCCGACGAGGATGTTGGCGGGCTTGATGTTGCTTTTCAAGTAGCAACCTCACTGTGAGCTGCCGTCATCTGAGCTCTGGCCTCTAGCCTTGCCTTGCACACACCTCACTGTGAGCCCCTGGCCTCTAGAGTTGTCTTGCCCGCACATCACTGTGAGCCCCTGGCCTCTAGAGTTGTCTTGCCCGAACATCACTGTGAGCCGTATCCTGATGCTGCTTCCCAAGTAGCAACCTCAGTAACATCATCTCAGGGTACCATTCGTCGCGACTCGCGACTCCCCCTCCTCACTTTGAGTCACCGCCCTCACTTGCCCTCCTGCGCCCCCTGCCCACCCGCCCAGGCCAAGATGGCGGATTTTGGGCTGCTCAAGATGCTGAACAACATGGGGTTAGAGAGCATCCTAAAACATCCTCTCACTTTCCCCATTCCCCCTCTCTTGCCCACCTGCGCGGCTGCGCCACCTACCCGCCCTGCCAGGCCAAGATCGCGGATTTTGGGCTGCTCAAGACGATCAAGGTTGGGGATGAGACCGCCACGAGGGTGGCGGGCACGCCGGGCTATGTGGACCCGGACTACAACCGCACCCAGATGGTCACCACCAAGAGTGATGTGTACAGGTGCACTTCTTAGAGTCATTTTTCAGGAGCACTGCTGAGAGTCAGTTTTCAGGAGCACTGCTGAGAGTCAGTTTTCAGGAGCACTGCTGAGAGTCAGTTTTCAGGAGCACTGCTGAGAGTCAGTTTTCAGGAGCACTGCTGAGAGCAATTCTGGAGGTGCGCTGCTGAGAGGCATGACTGCTCAACACCCCATGAGTGTGTTGTGTGATGTGCTCTTGAGAGCCTTTCACTCACAGCATCTTCGTGCATACCCTCACCGTGCATCCCATGCCCCATGCCCCATGCCCCATGCCCCATGCCCCATGCCCCATGCCCCATGCCCCATGCCCCATGCCCCATGCCCCATGCCCCATGCCCCATGCCCCATGCCCCATGCCCCATGCCCCATGCCCCATGCCCCATGCCCCATGCCCCATGCCCCATGCCCCATGCCCCATGCCCCATGCCCCATGCCCCATGCCCCATGCCCCATGCCCCATGCCCCATGCCCCATGCCCCATGCCCCATGCCCATGCCCATGCCCCATGTCCCATGCCCATGCCCATGCCCATGCCCATGCCCCACGTCCCATGCCTCGTACCCCAAACCATCCCAATCATAGCATCCATGTCCCCCCAACACCCTCATCTGTTTCCTCCCTCACACCCCTCGCGTGCCACGTGTCAGCTTCGGAGTGGTGCTGCTGGAGATGCTGACAGCACGCAAGGTCACCATGGGCGGCAGCTCCCACATCGGCAAATGGGTGAGTGACACGTCAGCAGCTTTGGGAGAATCCAATTTCAACGAATCATCACTGACAGATCAGCATAACGGCTAACGCTCCCTTGCTGCTACCCCTCTCCTCCCTCCTCTCCTCCCTTCCATTAGCGAATCACCGCCACCCGCCCACGCAGGTGAGCAAGATGATAGCAGCATACATGCTGGACAAAACTGAGAGACAAGACTCTAGAAATCCCAGAGGAGCCCATTGTCGAGTGGGCAGACCTGTTCTGAGGCGCCTCAAAACTCACCGGCACCAACCCCCCCCCACCCCCTCCCACCCGCCCACGCAGGTGAGCAAGATGGTAGCAGCATACACGCTGGACGAGCTGAGAGACAAAACACTGGAGATTCCAGAGGAGGCCATTGTCGAGTGGGCTGACCTCGCCTTAGACTGCATCAAGGCGCCCGGTTCCCGGCGGCCTGAGATGAAGGACGTGGTGAGGCGGCTGGATGCGCTGCTGCATAAGTACACGGAGGAGTATGAGGGGGAGAACGACCTCTTTGGGGAGGGTGATGGGGTGAGCAGTGTGGGGAGTGTCGCCGGGTTGAGAAGCCAGAGCAGCCAGGCTGGCACGAGCACAGCCCTTGCATCGGGGATCAGTTTCCCGTCTTCTGGGGTGATGAATTCGACGCTGAACAGCACGGTGCAGAGCGGTGTGATGAGTGGAATTGGCCCGATGAGTGGTGTGAGCGAGGTATCTGGTAAGAGCGGGGTATCGGGTGTGAGTGAGGCATCAGGTAAGAGTGGGGGAGGTGGGGGGAGCTCTCGTTCAAAGCTGATGATGTCTGTGGCGTCGGCGCTGGGAATAAGTGAAGAGGATGTGGCACGGCGGGAGGGGGGTGGGGATAGTGCAGTCATGCAGGCTGCAGGCGGGAAGAGCCTTCAGAACCTCTTGAGTGTGAAGGAGGTTGAAGGGCGGTGAGTGGAGGGGAGATGAGTGGAGGGAGGTGAGTGGAGGGGGGATGAGTGAAGGGGGGATGAGTGGAGAGAGGGCTGATGAGTGTGGAGGGGCGAGTATGAGTGGAGGAATATAGGAGGGGCCTCAGCTCCCAGTGGGCCTTGCCCTCACATTTCATTGCGTCTTACTGTTGGTTTGGTTTGGTTGGGAACGCCACCGGCAGTAGGAAAATGCGAGCTTGCATCGTATGTACTGTTTTGGTTTGTCTAAGGACACTAGCGGCAGTGGGAAAACGCTGGATTGCATCTCACTGTTGGTTTGGTAGCTTGCATTTTGAAAAAGAGGGCTATTGTGTTGCGCAAGATAGAGAATTGATGACAAGTGGTTGCCTAAGTTGGTATGCAGGAAGACAACCCGCCATCAATTACAATGTATGTAGTAATGTATGTATGTATGCCGCCTGGTAAAAAGGACAGCACGCTATATCAACTGGACTGTCGATACATTGGATGTGTACAGGGATATGAAGCACCTAGTAGCAGTTTTGCATGTTCTGCCAATAAAGCATGGCACCAGTGCAGCAGCCGAGGCGTAGGGTAAGGCAGCCAACCCTAACACGCCGAATTCATCTGAAAACCACCGTGTCCATGACTCCACCATGTCCAAGACTCCACCATGTCCATGACTCCACCATGTCCAAGACTCCACCATGTCCATGACTCCACCATGTCCATGACTCCACCATGTCCATGACTCCACCATGTCCATGACTCCACCATGTCCATGACTCCACCATTCCATAACAGCATCTGTTCATGTGTGGGTGAAACACAATCCTTCTGTTCATGCAGCGTAGCTGTTGGGTAGCATTGCTTGTCTCTTTCCCCCTTCCACCCTCAGTATATTCGCCCCGTCCACCCATTGTTTACTCGTCTCATTCACAGTGATACAGCACGCAGCTGATCCCTTGTGATCCATGCACCCAGGTGCTCTGTCAGGTGCCTCGTCAGGTGGTTGAACAGGTGCTTTTTGGAAGGGGAAGGAGGCTGCGTCAGGAGCATAGTGAGACGATGAGGTATGTGTGGAGAGGAGGGAGCCCATAGAGGGGTGAATTCCTTCAGGGATGGTGAGAACGGCAGATCGGCTTTCCGAGGCTGTGCTGCTGGTGCTGCTGGTGCTGGTGGTGCTAGTGCTACTGGTGTTGCTGCTGGCTCCACTGCTGCTGGAGCAACTGCTGCCGCTGCTAGAGCAAGCTTCAATGGAGTGCGGGGAGGGGACATGGTACGTGTTGGTGTGGGGAGTGAGGGGGGTGGGGGTGGAGGAGCAGGAGGCAGGAGGCGAGAGCAGGCTGCAGTGCTGCTGCTGGTTCTCCTCTATCGCCCTCTGCAGGGCGTCCTTTGCTATCCTCGTTATAAGCACAGTCGCCACGACTGCAGCAGGGCAGTGGGAGGAGTAGGGAGAGCAGGAATGGCATGAGTGGAAGGCAAGTGACAGTGGCCCCTGGCTCCAGGGGAAGGGAGTGTTGAGGCGCCTCACAAGGCAGCGAGTGCGGTGGGATCAGCAAGAAAAGGAGCAGTTGGCATGTTGGGTGGATGGATGGATGGTAACATGCTTGCAATAGACGAAGGTGCCAAGACATGATTGTGAGGGTATGGAAGTAGCAGTGTGGGTGGATCAACGGCACAGGGGGATGCACTGCAGTGTGGACACTCACTGGTGACAGCAAGTCCGGCCCCAAGCATCCACTGCAGATTCACCATTTGGACAAACACCAAGGGAGGCAGGGACACGGGGAGGCAGGGACAGGGGGAGGCAGGGACAGGGGGAGGCAGGGACAGGGGGAGGCAGGGACAGGTGGAGGCAGGGACAGGGGGAGGCAGGGACAGGGGGAGGCAGGGAACAAGGGACGCAGGGAAAGGGGACACAGAGTGAGGTGTGGGCATAGCTAAGGGGAAAAGGGCTAGATACCACATGCAGCGAGACTTGGGTGGATGGGTTTGGGTTGGGGTGGCACATGAATGTCAGAGAACAGCAGCACACACGATAGTCCATACGCAGCATCCACCCACAAGCACCATCCCCCATCAGCAGCATCCACCCACAAGCACCATTCCCCATCAGCAGCATCCACCCACAAGCACCATTCCCCATCAGCAGCATCCACCCACAAGCACCATCCCCCATAAGCAGCATCCACCCACAAGCACCATTCCCCATAAGCAGCATCCACCCACAAGCACCATTCCCCATAAGCAGCATCCACCCACAAGCACCATTCCCCATAAGCACCACCACCTCATAAGCACCAAACCCCATAAGCACCACCCTCCCATAAGCACCACCCCCCATAAGCACCACCCTCCCATAAGCACCACCCCCCCATGAGCACCACCCCCAAATAAGCACCACCCCCCCAAAACCCCCACAAGCACAACCTCCATACGCACCCCCCGTCCATAAGCACACTGACCCATTGTGAGGCCCCAGCAGCTCCCGGGGATCCGATCTCTGAAATGTCCTTTATGGTGGTGCCCAGATACACAAAGGTGAATGTGATGGGCTGTGGGGGATAGAAGTGCATAGGCACAGAGCGGAGAGACAAGGAAGAGGGAACGGCGCAGCCCAAGGAGGAGATAATTTCTGAAATGTCCTTGATGGTGGTGCTTAGATACACAAAGGTGAAGGTGAGACAAGGGGGGTGAGTGTTAGGAGAAGTATGAGGTGACACGGACCATCATGCCCCGCACCCATCATCACTCCCAATGCATCGCCCCCCTCACCCCCATTGACCATCATTGCCTTCTGCAACCCCAGCACTGACCATCATGCCTTGCACAGCCCAGCACTGACCATCATGCCTTGCACAGCCCAGCACTGACCATCATTGCCTTCTGCAACCCCAGCACTGACCATCATGCCTTGCACAGCCCAGCACTGACCATCATGCCTTGCACAGCCCAGCACTGACCATCATGCCTTGCACAGCCCAGCACTGACCATCATGCCTTGCACAGCCCAGCACTGACCATCATGCCTTGCACAGCCCAGCACTGACCATCATGCCTTGCACAGCCCAGCACTGACCATCATGCCTTGCACAGCCCAGCACTGACCATCATGCCTTGCACAGCCCAGCACTGACCATCATGCCTTGCACAGCCCAGCACTGACCATCATGCCTTGCACAGCCCAGCACTGACCATCATGCCTTGCACAGCCCAGCACTGACCATCATGCCTTGCACAGCCCAGCACTGACCATCATGCCTTGCACAGCCCAGCACTGACCATCATGCCTTGCACAGCCCAGCACTGACCATCATGCCTTGCACAGCCCAGCACTGACCATCATGCCTTGCACAGCCCAGCACTGACCATCATGCCTTGCACAGCCCAGCACTGACCATCATGCCTTGCACAGCCCAGCACTGACCATCATGCCTTGCACAGCCCAGCACTGACCATCATGCCTTGCACAGCCCAGCACTGACCATCATGCCTTGCACAGCCCAGCACTGACCATCATGCCTTGCACAGCCCAGCACTGACCATCATGCCTTGCACAGCCCAGCACTGACCATCATGCCTTGCACAGCCCAGCACTGACCATCATGCCTTGCACAGCCCAGCACTGACCATCATGCCTTGCACAGCCCAGCACTGACCATCATGCCTTGCACAGCCCAGCACTGACCATCATGCCTTGCACAGCCCAGCACTGACCATCATGCCTTGCACAGCCCAGCACTGACCATCATGCCTTGCACAGCCCAGCACTGACCATCATGCCTTGCACAGCCCAGCACTGACCATCATGCCTTGCACAGCCCAGCACTGACCATCATGCCTTGCACAGCCCAGCACTGACCATCATGCCTTGCACAGCCCAGCACTGACCATCATGCCTTGCACAGCCCAGCACTGACCATCATGCCTTGCACAGCCCAGCACTGACCATCATGCCTTGCACAGCCCAGCACTGACCATCATGCCTTGCACAGCCCAGCACTGACCATCATGCCTTGCACAGCCCAGCACTGACCATCATGCCTTGCACAGCCCAGCACTGACCATCATGCCTTGCACAGCCCAGCACTGACCATCATGCCTTGCACAGCCCAGCACTGACCATCATGCCTTGCACAGCCCAGCACTGACCATCATGCCTTGCACAGCCCAGCACTGACCATCATGCCTTGCACAGCCCAGCACTGACCATCATGCCTTGCACAGCCCAGCACTGACCATCATGCCTTGCACAGCCCAGCACTGACCATCATGCCTTGCACAGCCCAGCACTGACTATCATGCCTTGCACAGCCCAGCACTGACCATCATGCCTTGCACAGCCCAGCACTGACCATCATGCCTTGCACAGCCCAGCACTGACCATCATGCCTATCCAGGAGGCGAGGACGTAGGAGGAGAGGCTGATGGGCGTCACAGAGAGCACGTAGTTCATCACGTTGAACGGCAGGATGGGCACCAGCCGCAGCAGCAGCACTATCTGTGAGGGGGCGGGGGAGCATGAGGGGGCGGAGGAACATGAGGGGGAGGGGGAGCGTGAGGGGGCGAGGGAGCATGAGGGGGCGAGGGAGCATGAGGGGGCGAGGGAACAGATAGGGGCGAATGAATTCCAGGTAATAGGGAGAGAGGAGGCTGAGCAACTCGAGGTTTAAGAGGCAGGAAAGCAGATAGTGGGAGGGAAGTGGAGGGGGCGGGTGTGACCTTGAATCCGGATTTGGAGATGGCGTGTGCGACTGGTTGAAACTGCGGGTACTCCTTGAGCTTCGCCGACACGTATGAGCGCCCGATCTGCAGCGCACGAGGCCATGGGCGGGCGGGCGGGCATGGGAGGGTTAGCGGGAATGGGTGGAGTGTCGGGAATGGGTGGAGTGTCGGGAATGGGTGGAGTGTCGGGAATGGGTGGAGTGTCGGGAATGGGTGGAGTGTCGGGAATGGGTGGAGTGTCGGGAACCGTTGGGGTGTGAAGCATGGGACGGGTGTGGGGAAGTGACGGGGCGGCGGGACAAGGGTGTGAGGCAAGAAGTCGCCAAACGAGTCGCCTACGGACGAGGTGAGACACGGAAGGAAGCACGGACGCAAGCGAGAGGGCCATGGCAGCAAGAGAGGGGGGTTGTGGGAACAATCAATTTCGAACAACATCAGGCAGCGGGAATGGCATTCGGGCAAGGGGAGACAGCGCGGGACGCACGGTTTTGCCGACGAGGAAGGCGGCGGTGGCGCCGGCCGTGGAGCCGAGCGAGTCCGCGACGAAGCCCACCAGCAGCCCGAACACGTAGCCCCCTCCCAGCTGCGCGCGCAGGGTGGCGAGGAAGGAGGAGGGACAAAGGAGAGACAGAGGGGAGAAATGAGGGGACAGACGGGGCAGTAAGGGGGAAGTGGATGAAACAGTGAAAGGGTGTACATGAAGCGGGAGGCAGAGAGGAGAGACATGCGGCACATTACAAGCTCAGAGCATGGCGCGTTGAGATACATGACGTTCGTGTTATGATGAAGAATGGCATGTTCGCACTAACAATCAGAAGGTTTCCTGTATGGCAACTGCTTACAGTTAGGATAGCGCCCGGAAGTGCGAGAATATTTAGTGGTATATACGCGAGGGCCCTGAAAGGAGGAGGGGAATGGGGAGGCGGGGAAGAAGAGAACCGTAGCTGAGCGGCCCGTGCGAGAGCGACGGGACGCAATTCACGAATGAATTGGTTCGATAAAATACGACGGGTGAATTGCAAAGACTCAGCAACCGCTTTCTGAAAAGAAATTGTTTAGAGGGACAATGTTACGAGGGGGACTGCGATGAGGGAAAATGCTACGAGAGGGGTCGCTACGAGAACAATTGTGAGGAGGAGCAAGAGGGAGTAACGGCACGTACATGATGACCGGACCCCACACGCCCACGTCGTTCTTGAGCCACAGGAGAAAGCTCTTGAGCAGCTGCGGGGAGAGTAGGGCGATGGGGGGGAGACATGACGAGGAAAGAGAATCAATCGACAATCTTTAGCGTGCACTGCTGAACCATCAAAAAAATTCCTCCAACGATCGACTGCGCGTTTCGTAATGGCCCGCTGTGTGTCGGTAAGCTGAATAGATTCATCCATGACGGGAATGCTAGTAAGGGCTCAGTTAACATGGGCACTCAGCAACCTAGGCCCTCGAAGCAAGGAGCCTTACTTGTTCGACGTTGATTGCGACAAGGCCCACAACGATGAATCCTATAACGAGGACGGTGTAGAAAACCCGCTTGAGCGAGATTCCCGCCATCGCGGCTCGAAGCAACGAACCGATCATAGCGCCTCCGTCGACCTTAGATGATAAACTACGCGCAATCCTCCCTAGTCGTCGATGTGGTGGCAGTTGTGTGGATGGATGGTTAGGATGCGACGACGCTGCTCCATGCTGCTGGCAGTGCCGAAGGCCCTGATGGGTGTTGGTTCGCGGAGTTACAGATGTCGTCACTTGATTGGAAGACGTCACATGATTAGTTTTTGCGGATGAATACGGGTTCGAGTCATTGGGTGATGAGCCTGGAGCTGAAATGGTTACAATTGGGGATGCTGACGTGGACGGGCCTACGGTCTGTGCTGTTGCTAGCGTTGCCATGTTGGCGTCGGCACCCACGGCCGATGACGTGGATGCCTGTGCTTCTCCGCCATCTCTACCAACGAACATGATGGTAGTGACAGAACGACCCGGAGCGGAATCAGAGTGTAGTCGAACGGCAACGAGAGAGAGCTCCTAACGTTCACAATAAGGATACCTGCTTGACTACCAAACTTCACGCCCAACGTAGTACTCTACGCAGCTAAGCGGGGAAGTGCTCGATACAGGATGACTGAACGGGACCGAAGCAAGTAGTAATTCCAGGAGAATCAATGGAGCATCGTAGCGTCCAGCTTACTGTTTGAGAGTGATACCTAGTTAGCGTCCACAATAGACTACCCTCATCCCTGCTGCCATATAGCCTCACTTCACTCACGGACACGGACCCACCGCCGCCCCACCGCGCAGCTGCCCTCCGCTTTGTTTCGGTCTGCGGTGATCTCTAGCCTGTACTGTAGAGTTGCGCTAGCGCACGAATCCGATTGATTGTTCCCCCCATTCCCGCTCTTGCTTGGGGGCACTCGGGCAGACCGCATCACATCACACTGCCACCTGCTCAGTCTCGGCTGGGGAGGTCGGTTCGGGGCGCACGTCAGGATCTGGTTCGGGTGTGGGCAGCTGTCCCAGGGCTCCGCTTCGGTCTGTCGGATTCGGTCCAGTGAATTCAGGGTGACATCCATACCACTGGATTTGGCTCGGCCATGCCGAGATGAAGTGAAAGGTGATCGTGATTCGTGAAAGCTCGAAGGGGTTGTCGATGATCATTTCAAGGTTGTGACCCAGACCAGACCTGGAAATCATTTCCCCAGCCCAGCACGCGCAAACACGCAGGGATGATACTTTTTTGTGTAGGTCGTCGGTGGTTAGGGGGCTGACGTGTACATGACGCTTTCACCATCTTGATTGGCCACAGGACCCATAGGCTTGAGTTTGGCTGTTTTCGAAGTCGAAGCAGAAGAAGCGAGAGTTGAATCAGTAACTGTATTTTCTACTTGCTAAGTTACACATATGAAATCGATCACTCCAACAAAACCATATCTATGGTACGCGCATATTCCAGATCTATGCAATGCATGCACGGGCATCAAGCAGGAACTGGCTCTGGCACCAGACCATTGTGCCGAAGCAGAGGTTCGATTGACGGTTGCCGTCCTCGGAACTCGGCAAACACCTGCAAAGCACAACCCAGCAGCATCCAATGAGATGTACATGTACAACTTTCCAACTAAAAAAGGAGGGTGGGGGGCTCTTGTGACTCGGCTGGTACATTTCATGGCCATATGGAAACTCACTGCACGGACACAACTAGAACCCTGAATACTCACATCCTTGGCAGCAGCGCCTCCCCCAAGAGCCAGCACTGTATCTCTGAACTTGTGCCCTGTTGCCTTCACCGCCTGCACACACCACTCGACAGGGCGGAGCAAGAAATGCATGTGCAAGCGATGCGAATGAGGGCATGGTGAACATGAAGAGGAATATGGCATGCACATCCATGAGCGAGAGGCGCGAGGATGAAAACACGCTGGGAACGGTGCTCTTGTTAAGGTCATTCCCGCCCCTTCCACCATGCCCCAGGCCCTACCACACTCCCCTCTCCGCATCACAGGCAGCTCTGCCCTGTGCCTCACCTCATCGTCATCCAGCCCCGCCTCCTCAAACGCTGCGAAAGCATCAGCTGAGAGCACCTCCGCCCACTGCACACACAACAAGCAAGGGGACAGGGGAAGAGAAGCGCATGGATGAGGGGAAGTGTTTCGAAACTGAGTTAAGACATCTTCCGAGTAGATGTATGAGGCTTAGACACTACAAGCTAGAAAGCAAATTACATACCCACTGCAGAGATGCGGTGAAACAATGGCACTCACAAGCATACCCGTTGTAAGCCTCACCTTGTAGCTGTAGTAGCCGACATCGTAGCCGCCAGCGAAGATGTGGAGGAAGGAGCAGAGGAAACGGTCAGAGGGCAGCGGCGGCAGCACGAGCATGCGCTCCGCCACGCGGTTGTTGACATCGTAGATGGACTCCTGGCCCTCGGGGTCAAACGAGCAGTGCAGCTCCAGGTCCACAGATGCGAAGTGGAGCTGGTGAGGAAGAGAAGGGGGAGAAGGAGAGAGGAGGGAGAATACAGCAAAATGAGCAGTATGACGAAATAGAAAGCACACTGACTATTCAAAATCCACAACGCATATTGACTCAGACGAAGAGAGAAGCTCAAAACCAGGTGTCCTGTGCACAGAGCGAGGAGTTGGTGTGCGGCGGTGGTGTGCACATACTGACCTGGCGCATGATCATGTACCTTGCGCAGAAAGGTTAGGTAGTGTGGTGTGGTGTGGTGTGGTGTGGTGTGGTGTGGTGTGGTGTGGTGTGGTGTGGTGCATACCTGGCGCATGGTCATGGTGGCGGAGCGGAAGTTCTTGGCCGCCACAATCTTCTGGTAGAGCTCCTCGGGGAGCACCTCGCCTGTCTCGTAGTGCCGAGCTATGCCTAGAAGCGTGGCTCTGGTGGGCGCAGAGAGGGAAGGAAAGAAGGGCTCTCCTATGAGCACGATACACTTAGCCGCCACGATCTTGTTGTATAGCTCCTCAGGGAGCGCCTCTCCTGTCTCATAGTGCTTTGCTATGCCCAGTAGCGTGGCTCTGGTGGGCGCAGAGGGAGAGGGATTGTGAAGGGGGATGGTTCTGCAATGAGTACCATGCACTTGAGAAAAACAAAGAGCCGGATGCGAGGAGATGGGCAGATGGCAGACAAGAAGAGCGGGGATAGTGCAAAACGAAACAGAAGCACACCCACACGCAGCACACCTGTGGTAGCACCAGTTTTCCATGAACTGCGAGGGCAGCTCCACGGCATCCCACTCCACGTTGCTGATCCCCGCCACCAGCCCCTCCTGCTGCCTCGTCAACATGTGCTGCAACGCGTGCCCGAACTCGTGGAACAGTGTCTCCACCTGCCATCCGCATTTGGAGTTGGGCCACGGGGGGGAAGGGGGAAGAGGAGGGGAAAAGACGGGAGAGAAATAACTTGTAAATATGGGGGACATGGGGAGCGGCGTGACTGAAGCAGACAGGAGAGAAGATTCGCAAGTGCAAGCATTATGCCACCCACCGATCTTCTCAACAGTAAATCTGTACATATTGATACGTCATAATCATCAACATGCACACATGCATACCTCAGTGAAGGTCAAAAGGCTGGGCTTGCCCCCGACCGGGGGCGTTTGGTTGCACACAATGTGCATGACAGGCAGGCACGCAGCAGCGCCAGGGGCGACTTTTGAGAATTCCCATTAGTGACTCCATGCATACGTAGTTGCATCTCACGCCAGCATGCACACATACCTCATTGAAGGTCATGAGGCTGGGCTTGTCCCCAAGAGGGGGCGTCTGGTTGCACACAATGTGCGTCACAGGCAGGCGGGCAGCAGTGCCAGGGGCGGCAAAGAGGGCGCTGCGGTTGCAGATGCCGTCCATCCACGCACCGCCTCGCTTCTCCGCCGGGCGCGAATAGGGGTCGAGGAGGAACGAGGCCACGGTGTTGCCAGAGGAGTCAGTGACCTTATAGTACCGTACGTCTGGGTTCCATATCTGACAAGAACAAGGGGGAAAGGGGGGGGGGAGAGGAGGGGAAAGGGGTAGCATGAGGGCCGCAGCTCCTCCTGCGTCAGCTCGTATCGCCTATTGAGTTGAGTCAGCTCGTATCGCCTACTGAGTTGACTCAACTCAGAAACTGCAGCTCATGCTGCGTGTGGCTGACTCAGCCCAGCACACACATAACTGCCGGCAGAGCCACAGCCATCCACTTCCCTGCCAGCAGCCCCAGGAAGCTCAGACTCACCGGTGCCTCCCCATCAGCGGGTTGGAAGGAGACGTCAAAGAGGCGCGAGGCGAGCTTGAAGAGCCCATCGATGACCGCGGGGAAGGAGAAGTAGGGCCGCAGCTCCTCCTGCGTCAGCTCGTACCGCGCCTCCCTCAGCCGCTCGCCCCAGAACGTCACATCCCACTGCCGCAGGTCGTCCGCCTCCTCCGCGCCCTGCTCCTTGGCGAATGCCTTCAGCTCCTCGTGCTCTGCAGCAATGCGGGATGGGGAATGGGGGAGTTGGGAGTCGAACTAGAACAGCATGATGCATGTGATTCGGACGTTCAAAATCAACCACCCACAATCCACGTATCACATCCAGGCCTGGCTTTACAGCGGTTCAACGTTGCAACGTGTCACTTCGACCCACACAGGGCTCACCTTTGACGGAGATGTCAAAGGCAGCGTCCCTGAGGTCCTCCACCAGCTTGTGCGCGCTCTCTATCGTGGCCATGCGCCACTGCATGGGGACCTGCTCATGCACGGGCATGTGGGAGGCAGTGTAGCATGCAGATAGCTATTGAGGTCAACTGATAGATGATACCAGCTTGTGCGCACTCTCAATGGTGGCCATGCGCCACTGCATCGGCACCTGCTCATGCAATGGTGAGAGGAATGCAGCGGTTGGCAAGAAATGACAGAATGATTCAAGACTTGTGATGCTCCATGATGCCCATCCGCCCCGCCACTGCAATTGAGTCAAAGCAAGTGTGCTGAGCTGAGCATGTCAAATGAAGAGATCCCAACGGGGAGGGGGGGGGGGGAATCCCACATGTGTCAGCGTGTGTTGGCCTCACCTCAGCGTGGGACTTAAAGCCCAGCAGCTTGGCCTTCTCCTGCTTGAGTTGCAGAATGCGTGTGATCACCGGGGTGTTGTCAATGTCACCGTCTGAAGCACGGGTTACATAGGCGCGATACACTTCCTCTCTCAAGCCCCGATTGCGGCAGTGCTGCAGCGGAGATTGTACGGGAGGCAAGGGACAGAACCACGAGACACACACATGACAAGTATGACTCAGGAACAGGTGATAAACGAACGATAGGAATATGGATGAGAGTCGCGCTATACATCAGAGAAGGGACAGTGTCTCATGCTTTTTGGAAATTCTCAAGAAACAGAAGGGACAGTGTCTCATGGACAGTGGTGATGGCGACCTATATGATAGGCACGGTGTCTATACCTGCATGAGAGGCAGGTATGAGGGCATGTCGAGAGTGAAGGCCCACGGCCCGTTCTCTGCTGTGGCTCCTTCATGTCCCTGCGTGCATGGTGGAAAGGGCACGAGAGGCGATGCGTGGGTGAAAGGCAGGGACGGGAAGGGATGAGAAATGCAGTGATGGGGACTACAAGCTCGTGGAAGGGATGAGAAATGCAGTGACGGGGACTACAAGCTCGTGGGAAGGGATGAGAAATGCAGTGATAGGGACTACAAGCTCGTGGAAGGGATGAGAAATGCAGTGATGGGGACTACAAGCTCGTGGAAGGGATGAGAAATGCAGTGATGGGGACTACAAGCTCGTGGGAAGGGATGAGAAATGCAGTGATAGGGACTACAAGCTCGTGGAAGGGATGAGAAATGCAGTGATGGGGACTACAAGCTCGTGGAAGGGATGAGAAATGCAGTGATGGGGACTACAAGCTCGTGGGAAGGGCATGCACGGATGGGAAAGACGTGGAACAGCAGCGGCGGCGGCGGCGGCTGTGGCAGCAGCAGCAGCAGCAGCAGCAGCAATAGCAGCCACACACCTTGCCAACAGCAGCCTGAGCGGCCAAGCCCAGCGCGGAGGGAGGCAGGCCCGCCACGTCAGCAGGATCAGTGACAATGCGCAGGAAGCGCTTGGTGGCGTCAAGAACGTTGTTCTGGAACTTGGTCCTCAGCTGCGCCACCTCCTGCTGTATCTCGTTGAACCGCGCCTTTGCCTCGCCCTCCAACGCAACTCCGCTCGTCTTGGCGGATATGAGCTCCGCTGCACGGCAGGGATGAGGGGAATGGCAGGGGGGTCGATGGGTGGATGATAGCGACAAGCTTGGAAGACTAAGCATGAGTAGACATCTCGACTGGTCTTGGCGGATATGAGCTCTGCTGTATGGCAGGAAGGTCGAGAAGTGGACGAGATGAGGGGATAATTGGTGACGCGCGTTGGCGGCAGCTGAGAATGGACGGATACAGCTAAGCGCATGAACCATGGATGGAATGAGATGGCATGACGAGGGGCGTGAATTCCCCCAGCACACAGCGACACCAACTCACAGCCTCCAGCCCACACACCCACTCACACTCGACAACGCGCTTCTGAGCCACGCTGAGACTCTCCCACAGTCCCTCGTCCGCCCTCATGGCGACGAACGCGCCGTAGAGCGGGCGGCTCTGCCCCAGGCGCAGCAAGACACAGCCACCTACACGTTCCATCCCACACACCAACCCAACCCAACTCACACTCGACAACGCGCTTCTGAGCGACGCTAAGGCTCTCCCACAGCTTCTCATCTGCCCTAATCGCGACGAACGCGTCGTAGAGCGGGCGGCTCTGCCCCAGGCGCAGCGAGAGCTTGACAACGTCCGGCTGCACCTCCTCGAACGCCGCCCGCAGCTCGTCCGAGTTCTTCACCGCGTTCAGGTGGTTCACCGCGCCCCACGGGATGCTCAGCCGGTCCTGCAGTCGCTCCAGGGGTTCTACGAGGCCCGCCCACGTGGGCTTCACGTTCTTCTCGAGATCGTCCAGCTGCTCCTCCTGTGGGCGTGGCGGTCAGTGAAAGGATGTGGGATTTCTGTTCTTGAGTCGACTCAAAAGTGGTTCACCGCGCGCCCCACGAGGTGCTCAGCCGGTCCTGCAGTCGCTCCAAGGGCTCGACCAGGCCCGCCCACGTGGGCTTCACGTTCTTCTCGAGATCGTCCAGCTGCTCCTCCTGTGGGTGTGGTCGGTGTAAGGTGTGAATCCTCGAAAATAACATATGGAGTGACTTGACTGACTCCGAATTGACAGTAAACTCTCCTGATAAAGGTATTTGGCAGGAAACTCGCCGTCAAACTTCGCATAGAGTTAGTAATCTTCCTCCAAATCATTCAGTTGTTAAACGCGCGGATAATTGATTAAGGATGCGCAGAGATCTTACACACTAAACGTCTGAAAATATGAGGGCTCCGACTGAACAATCCTGAAAAATGGGTGCTGGAACAATGGATTGAAACATTGGGTGCTACTGAGGCTCAAATTCTTTATTCGTGAAACATTGGGTGCTCAAACATTGGAATCGTGAAACACCTAGATCATGATCTGAGTGCTCAGACACAACACTACTGCGAAATTTAGTCCTCGGACATTAGGCGCTCAGACTGTAAATTCGTTTGACATTGGTTGTTCATACTCTAGATTCCTGAAACAGTGGGTGCTCAGACACTTGAAATCTAAGTGAGAAGATGCTTGACTGTACGCGACATTATTTTCTCCAGATTTAGCTCTAAAAACATTCAGTGCTCAGACATTACTTTCCTGAGACAATGCGTGGCTCTCTCTACGTACCACTTCCTTGAGAATGGCTCGCATGCCCGGCACCACGTCCTTGGGCTCGATCTTGTCGAACAGCGGAATCGACGCGGGATTCAGCGACAGAAGCGGGTTCTCTTTAACGTCCGCTGCGGCCTCCGTGGTTGCCGCTGCAGCAGCCATGGTCACTGATGGTCTTGCCCTTGCAGACGAGATTCCCGACACGAAAATAGACCGGCGTCCTGAATTGATAGCGGAGTGAGAATTCGGTTTTGCGACAAGGCGGTTCGCGCTAAGAGAGGAGGGAGTCGGGAGCAAGCAGATCCCGACCGTCCAATTGCCGGCCTTGCCAGAGAGCTCGGCTCGCAGTGCACTAGGAGAGCTCTTCAGCGCTGACGGGACGCTAGAGGAGCACAGAGGCATGGAGAGAGAAAGGGCCATAAGCAGTCCGATCTTTGCTCGTGGCGGACGGTTGTGTGCGAGGAACTTGGAGCTTGAGATTGTGAAGCTGAGCATGGCGTAGAAAAAAGGTCGCCAGAATTCAATTTCACCATCACAGATTGGAGCAGCATTGGAAGCGGGATGCGCTGCATCATTGTGTCCACGAGACTGTACTGTAGGCGGAAAGGCGGGGAGCAGGGAGAAAAGAGGAAAGAGGCGGAACCGAGCGCAGAAGGAAGACGGGAAATCTGGTCAGAAGGAGGGTGGAGCGCTGAAGTTGGCGGAAAGGGGAAATGGTCGCGCGAAATGGGGATCCTCTCGGAGTGCCACGCGGCTGAAAGACGCTGCGCCACGCGAACAGTCTTTTGCGGGGTTGACCAATCAAAGAAGGTTCGACTACTCGATAGAAGCACGATGGGTTTCTGTGATCGAGATACAGTTAGTACTTTCCTGCTACCAGCCTCACCTTGATTTAAATTATTGACATACCTAAAGCATGCCTGAATGTCACGAAGTCACATAAATTTCCAGTAAAAGTCAATATCTTCACAGCGTGCGTTAGAGTGTAAATCTCGCGTCAAAAATTACTGCCCATTTTTAAGTTGCATGATGTCACAACTGTCAGATTATGTTATTTGTCTAGCCTGCAGTGGGGTGCTCAATAGTGAGTACAACCCCTTAGGGTTTCCTATATGTATCCTGCTGCTTGCTAGTTCAAATCATCATTCCCATTCTCACTTCTCCAATTCTCCTTCGTATACCACAAACCCTAGTCCTAGGGCACAACCTACTACCTCCTACTGTGGCCTAGGCTACTAAGCCTAGGCCACGCTCCTATTCTTCCTGACAACAACATACAAAACACCACTCCAGAAAATATATGGCATATGCACGTTTCATAAGTGTCCTTAAAAACGGCTGTACATTCCAGCAAATTGCTCTTTCCAAAACCTCGGGAGATAATAAAATCAGCTGGTGAGATACGGTATATGGGAAAAATTATACCACGTGCAAATTCATGCACACTGCATGCATACACACATGTATGCACGAGTGCAAACATGGATACTTGGTGTGCTCATGCATGCCCACGGCTGCCATTATGACTTCCTGGTATACTGCAAACTGTTGCACCTCATGCCACTGTCCCCACTCTCGCTGCAATCTCACCACCACTCACTGAAAATCACCAGTATCTCACCACCCACTCTCACCACTCACTGTCACCGCTCACTCTCACCACACTCAGTATCACCACATTCTTACCATTCTGGCCACAAATCTCACCACACTGTCACCACTCTAACCTCATCACTCTAACCCCTCACCCTGACCACACTCTCTGCTCTCACTCTCACCATACACTCACAACACATATCTCATGAGCCACATGGCACTGATGCCACCACACCATACACTCAAATCTGAACATCCAAAACTGGCTGCTCTCATGCAACAGGTGGCATCAGTGCCAAATGGCTCATCATATGCCACCTACCAAGTACGAGCATCATGCTCTCATGCAACAGGTGGCATCAGTGCCATACGGCTCATCATGTGCCACCAACCAAGCATGAGCATCATGCTCTCATGCAACAGGTGGCATCAGTGCCATACGGCTCATCATATGCCACCTACCAAGTACGAGCATCATGCTCTCATGCAACAGGTGGCATCAGTGCCATACGGCTCATCATATGCCACCTACCAAGTACGAGCATCATGCTCTCATGCAACAGGTGGCATCAGTGCCATACGGCTCATCATATGCCACCTACCAAGTACGAGCATCATGCTCTCATGCAACAGGTGGCATCAGTGCCATACGGCTCATCATGTGCCACCAACCAAGCATGAGCATCATGCTCTCATGCAACAGGTGGCATCAGTGCCATACGGCTCATCATGTGCCACTGTCAACCCCACTGCCTCTCACCACCATCACCACCCAACCCACCCAGCGACTGCCCAACTTTACCTGCCAGCAGTAGGAGGAGCAGACAGCCCAATCCCTTTCGGAAACAGCACCCACAGGGCTGCGCCTTGTCGTGCGAAGTGTGGCGGTGGAAAATCGCTTCCAGCCCAAGACTCAAATCCCACCCCTGACGTAGCCAGAGCTGACGCGAACCAGAGCCGCCGGCCGGTCGGCTCTGACGGTGTCCATTAGGCCTTGAACGCCAGATCGGTTACTTGAGCACCGAGTGCCGTGCCGCGCAGATTCCACCCACCACACCCCGACCCACAACGCACAACCTCAGAGGGTGCTGCCCCTAAGGCAGTGAACTCCTTGCTTGCTCCCACGCTCCCCACCCACCCACCCACTCACCCACCACACACTTCACCCACATGCCTGCTTACCTTTTCTTACCTCTACCTACGTGAGCCATGCAGAGCACAATGATGCCTCAGGCTGCTGGGAAGGGAGGGAGGCAGGGAGCAAGGGAGAGCAATGAGCAAGGGAGAGCAATGAGCAAGGGGAGAAGTACAGGCAGAAGCATGACGGCAGGACAGGAGCAAGAAAAGACAACAAGCATTGGGAGAAGAAAAGCAGCAGCGTGAGTGAAGGAATCAACACAAACGAATGCATGTATAGCAGGAAGGTGAAAAGAGGCTCACCTTGTTCCAGACAACCCATCCCGATGCTCTCCCATCCCATCCCAGCCGAGCGGAGTGCTGCCCCCCTCCCCTCTCCCCAAGTAACCTGGCAGTGGGGGGAAAAGGGGGTGAAGAGACAGGAGAGGAGGGGCAGGTCAGCTGGCATCAACTGAAGCAGTCAAGTCAACAGAAGAACAATAGAGTGGAAAAAAACGAGAATGGTGAAGTGAGGGAATGAGGCATCTGCTCTGCAGCAGGGAGGGGAAAGAGGCTTACCTTGTTTCGGACAACCCATCCCGATACTCTCCCATCCCATCCCAGCCGAGTGGAGTGCTGTCCCTTCCCATCCCACCCAATGCTTGGGCGATTTTTTTTTTTTGCAGAGACAGGTTAAACGGCTGCGTTTGGTCGCGACGAACAATGATACCGGCTGCGAATGGTTGGTTCGGTCAGGCTGAATGTTTGTCCATGACTGTGAGATTCGGGAGCCCATTTCGGTGGCTGGTTGAGAATCGTCCGCGTGGCACATGAATCTGCAGGTCAGGGAAGGGAAAAGAAAATTGCCAAGTTTACGCCGTTTGCTTGTACCCTCATTTCACCTCACCGACAACGCAAGACAAACGACACCGATTTTTTTCAGCGAGATTCCGTTGACAAAGGCGGGAGCTGCGGGATTTCGCTGGTGAACGTTGGACTCCGTGATCTAGGAACCGTCGATCGTCCTCTCATCTGGAGGCGCAGAGTCGTCGTGTCAATTTGGTACGCGGCAAGCCCAATGGCTTGAATTTGAAGCTGTGGTTCCAGCCACTAGGAGCGAAGTCAATCCTAGCCGTGGATAGAGGTTCTAGGCAAGCGGTTGCGATTGGGATCTGGGGTTGAGGCTGTCCATCTGATCTGACCCCTGGGAAAAATGGGCGAAGTTGGCGAACGATCTATGCTTCCCACCTATTCTGTTACTCATCGCTGATTCGACGGAGGATCTGATCTTCCTGACACCACTGATCTGAGAAGAGTTGGAAAGCCCACACATTATTTCAAATAAATGGATCTAATTCACGGTAGGTACACCAACAAAGGGTACAGTAACAAATCACAACATAGAGAGAGCAGTTTTGTGGAAATATAATCACTGCAATATGTAGCAAAGTGTCAAATGTTGTAGCCTATAGTGAGGTTTGTCTTAGGGGGTACAAAACTTAGGGTTAGCTATATGTACCCCAACCAACATCAATGCATCATCCATTCTTCATTCTGACATGGTATCAGTTAGGTTAGGATCCTGTGGGATCCCGTTCCTCCGTTCTCCGTTCGAGCCTCCCGAGCCTGATCCTAGCTCTCATTCGTCCCGGTTCCGTTGTTACCGCGCGTAGTGCCGAGCCTAGCGCCAATCCTAGCGCCCGTCCGCGCCACCCGTTCCCCTCGTTCCGTAGCGCCCGCCCTTACCCCCCGTCGCGTCGCGCCCGTTCCCCCCGTCGCGTCGCCGCCCATTCCCCCCGTCGAGTCGCGCCCTTTTCCCCCCGTCGCGTCGCGCCTGTTCCCCCCGTCGCGTCGCGCCCGTTCCCCCGTCGCGTCCTGCCCGCCCTTTCCCCCTCGTCGCGTCCCTTTCCCCCCGTCGCGTCCTGCCCGCCCTTTCCCCCTCGTCGCGTCCCTTTCCCCCCGTCGCGTCCTGCCCGCCCTTTCCCCCTCGTCGCGTCCCTTTCCCCCCGTCGCGTCCCGCCGCCCTTTCCCCCCGTCGCGTCCCTTTCTCCCCGTCACGCCCCTTTTCCCCCTGCGCGCCTCGCCGCGGCCCCGCCGTCGTCGCCCGCCGCTGCGCGCGTCGCCGCTGCGCCCCCTGCCGTCGCCCGCTGCGCGCGCTGCTGGCCCCTGCTGCCGAGCGCGCTGCCATCGCCCGCCGCTGCGCCCGTTCCCGTTCCCCGCTGCTTAGTCCCCTGTTACCTCCCGCTGTCACGCCCGCTGTGGCGTCCGCTCCTCCCCTGTCCCAGAGTACCGCCGAACCCTAATTTGCCTCTCACCTACTGCTGTCCCCTCCCTCTCCGTTCGCGTTCGTTTTCACTATGGCGACTCAGCGTGTCCTTCGTTTCGACGCTGACGGTAGACCTCTTGATTTTTCCGTCTGGCTTCTTCGTGCTCGCCGTCTGTTAGAGAGTCAGGTCCAGGCAGGCGAGACCCTCTGGGCGCACGCTACTGGTGCCCTACCTGCGCCCCCCGACCCTACGCCTTTAGGACCTGCCCCTGACGACGCCGCTAGAGCCCGCTTTGCCACTCAGCGAGCTGACCAGACGGCTTGGACGTCACGTGACGCTGCGGCCTGCATCGCGCTCAGCAGCCTCCTCCCTGAGTCTGAGGAGGTTCACTTCACTCAGGTTCGCACCGCTGCTGAGTACCTCACTGCGATTAAGGCCCGCTACTCTACTCCCGCTGCTGTCTCTCTTGGCCGCCTGTTCCTCCCGTTCCTGTTTCCTGACCTAGCGTCTTTTGAG